AGTCTCTAAAGAGACCCATGGGAGGGTCACAAGTTGGGCCGTGGATAGAGCCCACAGCAGAAGGTGCTAAAGAGACTTGCTAGGGGTGAACACCCTAGTCTTGGCAAAGCAAAGCCTTTGCTATGGAATCAAAGGAATACCTCAAGGAGGGAGGTAGACATTCGGTGTTGCTGAGTGCAACCATCAACGGATAGGAGCAAAAGAGGAGTGGCCAGGATAGGGCCGTGGAATCCCTTGGAAGGAATCCAAGTGGCAAAGTTAGGCGAGGAACACTAATGTGTTGGACGCTAACAAATTGCGGGAAAGGAAGTGTGTTTCCAAGGATGGATTCCGAATTGCTCCGATTTGGCGAAAGTGGAAGCTCCAAGGGAGGGAGCGGTAAGGTAGCCAAATGATAGGGCGATGGACAACCCTAGCACAAAGTGTGATAAATGGAACTTAGTGCCCAAGGTGGCACGAAATAGAAAAGAGGATGATGGTGCCCTCAAGTAATGAACTTCCTAGGATAGGGAAGTGGAGTTGCACAATCTGTGCAAGGCAAGGTGTTGGAGACACCTAGGAAATTGACTTCCAAAAGTCAAAAGAGTAAAAGTTCCAAGGTGCAAATATTCAATAGATGGAAATTGAGACTACTCGAGAAGGAGTAGTGGGATTGACTTAGAGAAGGGTCTCTAAGAGGTTTAGCGAGAACTAAACCAATAAAAGGAGAGAACCACTACATGTGGTTCAATCAGTCTCTAAGTTGGAGAGACTACCCTCCTTAGAGGATAGGCAAGGCATGGTGAGCCTTTGGTGGCAAACCATTGAGGCATATGCAAAAGGCATGGTGAGCCTTCAATGTCAAACCATTGACAAATATTGGCTAGGTGTCAAAGATGGAAATGGTAACACATGCGAGTGTTACTTTACAAAATGGTTTACCGTTCGATGAGGACATCGAACTTCGTCTATGGGTGGTGGAGTTGTGAGACACAAAATCCCTAGGCCCCAAAGTGGAGCCAGAAGGGCACCACATGGTAGTGGCCGAAGCGAGAGCCAAACGAGCGTAACACGTTTGGACCAAAAGCTCCGACTTGAAAAGTCAAGAGCGGGAGTGGAACTCCCAACGAAGTGCTCGAGGAACGAGCATGAAGCGAGCAAAAGGCGAGGCTCCAAAAAGGGACCCAAAAGGACCAACACATGACACGTGGGAGTGTCCGAGATGGACTCAAGTTGGAGTCCGAAGTGGAGTCCGAGATGGACCCGAGTTGGAGTCTGAAGTGGAGTCCGAGATGGACCCGAGTTGGAGTCCGAAGTGGAGTCCGAGATGGACCCGAGTTGGAGTCCGAAGTAGAGTCCGAGATGGACCCGAGATGGAGTCCGAGATGGAGTCCGAAGTGGAGTCCGAGGTGGACCCGAGTTGGAGTCCGAAGTGGAGTCCGAAATGGACCCGAGATGGAGTCCGAGATGGAGTCCGAGATGGAGTCCGAGATGGAGTCCGAAGTCGAGACCGAGACCGAGACCGGGACCGAGACCGAGACCGAGACCGAGACCGAGACCGAGATCGGGACCGAGACCGAGACCGAGACCGAGATCGGGACCGAGACCGAGACCGAGGCCGAGGCCGAGACCGAGCCCGAGCCCGAGTCCGAGTCTGAATCCGAGTCCGAGTCCGAGTCCGAGTCCGAGTCCGAGTCCGAGTCCGAGTCTGGAGCCTGAGAGGGTGAAAGCCCAAAGCGTTCGTCTCCGAGACCCTGGGGGGTTTGGTGAGCTCCAAAAGTATAGTAGGGGGGAGGACTGCAGTGGAGCCAGTTTGGCCAGGAAAGGCCAGTTTGGCCCAGGAAGGCCGGACCCAGTGTTGGGTGATGAGCTGCCCACTGGGAAGTCCAAGACTAGAGTGAACACAGACCGACAAGCGGGGTAGCTTGGTGAAGTGTTCAAGAGCCGGCTCTAGTTCCCCCGGGAGATCGACTGGCCGATGCTCCCAGTCCAAGTGTGGGTGGCACTACCTACTTGGATACCTGGTGTGGCTCAACGGAACCCGCTCTAAGCCCATGGCTAGAGCACCCAAGGGCAGAAGGCGAGGAGAGTACCCAGGTGGCTCGCGTAAGGCCACGGTGTTCCAAAATGTTGTCCCAAAGGCCCAGACTGTGGAAAGGAAGAGGAGCAGTCCCCTGGGGTAGTGACCAAGGACACAGTCGTGTGGTGGGGAAGTCCCAGAGGACCGTGGGACTTAGTGGTCGGGCCTGTGGGTCTCGATCCAGTGGCAGTGTTGGCAAACACGGCCAGGGGCAGAAAGGGACTTAGTGGGGACTGACAGAGGGATATTGGGGAAGGCTATTCCCCTTGTCGGTGGGCATCCTAAGGATGCTAAGGAGTGGAGCTGAGATGACCACTCATGGATGGTTTGCCTAGTCTTGGAGAGCCAAGACGGTGATGCAAGTGGTATTGGACTACCAGTGTGGCAAAGGTGATTGGGCATGGCCTTAGCGTAACAGGCTGCTATGTCGGTGGTACCTTTGAGTGTCGGTCATGGGATCGGACACGTGGAGCACTTGGACCAAGTGCAAATGTTGAGTGGCATGGATGCCATTCTCGGGGCTAGCAAGTCCCAAGTCCTGGATTGGACTTATGGAGGTTGTGAATGAGACTCCTCCAAGTGGTCAGAGGTGTGGTTAAGTGACTAAAGTAGAATGGAAAATTTAGTCCCTTACACTTACAGACTTGGGCTCGAGACGAGGTGATGCATTGGAACCCAACTAACTACAAAGAAGCATTGGATGCTGCTATTAAGGTGTATTTCAATTATAACTTATGAAAGGGTAACACAACAGAGTCAGGGTCCACATTTAACAAAGGGGCCAAACTAAGGGGGATATATAGCAAAGGGAAATTCAAGAAGAGTTTCTCTAAGAATAAGTCCTTAGGGTTCTGGAAAAGCAGATTTGGTGGTCAGCGAGCAAATACGTGGGGGAGTCAAGTGAAAATGGACAAACCCACGAATGGTCAAGTCCACTAGTAGCATGGGAAACAATATATGCTTCAACTGCGGTGAAGTGAGACACTTTTTAATAGAATGTCCTTACCCGAAGAAAGCCAAAGTCAATATGGCCATTAAGTCAAATCTAAATTGAGGTACGTGATCCAGTCCCTAGCTCAAAGTTACTCATTACAACCCTAAACTGGCTATGGGGGGTTCCAAATCTAGATAGTAGGTAGGTCGGGCATGGCCGACCAACCTGAAGCATAATTTAAATCCCACTTGCGTGCCTGTCCTTGTTTTATGTCTGGCTTGGGTCTAAGCCCAAGTTCCATACCTTGCTAGTTGGTGGAGTACCTATATCCTCGAATTAGGCCACCAGTATGCTAAAATAGCGCCAGAATCTATTTAACTCCGTTTTACATGTTTGTCTTGGCATTAGGATGCTAAGTGCTCTAAGATTATTCCAAGTTGCTTTGCGCTTTTGTTCTTTCATTCCTTGGGCTGTATGCTCGAGAGTTGTTCCATGCTCCAATGCCATTGTTCCTTGGCTCCATACTTAGGAGTTTGGCACTGTTCTTTCGTTAAGTGGCCCAAGGTTTTGAAACTCGGGTTTTGCAACACTATCATTTGGACACGTGGCATGTAACATATGGCATGTGACACGTGGCACATAGAGGGTTTAGGTTCCACTTCATGGTTATCCTATGGTAAATAGTAAAAACTATATGTGCTACAATTTTGCAAGATTTAACTTTATGTGTTGAGCCTACCTTCTCTCTGCTAAGCCTGCTACCAACTAAGTTTGGGCTATACCCACCTTTGGAAAATCTAAGTTCAGCATATCTAAACCACCACATTGTAAGAAACCAACTCCCCGAGGTGTTGAAGGTTAAAGGATCCCTAAAAGCATGACCAAAATGATAAAAAGTTCATTGGATGGGACCGAGTCTGAGATCGAGTCCAAGACTGACTCTAAGACCGAGTTCGAGACAGAGTTTGGGATCGAGTCAGAAGACCAAGATTGAGACTGAGTTCGAAATCAAGTTCGAGACAGAGTTCGAGATCCGAGATCAAGGTCGAGTCTGAGATCGAGTCTAAAGTCGAGTTTGAGATTGAGTCTGAGACCGAGTCTAAGGTCGAGTCCAAGATCAAGTACGAGATTGAGTCTGAGACCAAGTCCAAGTACTAATACAGGTCGAAGGGTGAAAGCCCAAAGCGTATATCTCCCTGTTCACCTTATCATTGCATAAACCCAGTGACATACGCTTTGACTGTCCTGAACAAGGCTTCCAGTCGCTCAAGTAGACTTGTCATATCATCCAGACTAGCAGACTCAACAGCCTCCTTCAAAGCTTGTCCAGTATCAGGAATCTCAACACCCTCACTGATGTAATGCACGGCTGATTTGGCCTTGAGCTCCTTGCTGAAGCTAGCTGCAGTGTAACTTTCCCCTGCATATATTGACGAGGATCGGAAATCACTTGCATCCTTTCCTTAAACTCGGACAGCAAGGCTGACTTGCCAGAAGTCAGAGCAGCACTAGTAGCTCACCTACTGTTGCACTTGTCTCGAGACCACCCAGCAGAAGAATGGGCACCAAAAGTAAAACTTTCAAACCATACTCCAGCAACGCCAGCACCAAGCCAACACTGCCACACCCAGCTCCCAGCTCAATCCCTAGCTTCCCCTGGATCCTGTTGTGAATCCTGCCCTGCCGGGCCACACCATCATCCTGATGTGCATCGATCTAATTCAAGAATCATTTAGAGCAGAAATATTTAGTGTGGTGCGAGAAGGAACAAGCCCAGACTTCCAACAACAACAGATTTACGGCCTTTCCTCCGCCATGCTTCTGACAGCCATCTCAAACCGAACAAGATCGTCCATTTGCGTTATCAGCTTGCGCACGAAAATCTTCTTGACCGGGTGTAAAAGGCATGCACAGGGGCCGGAATATGCTCATTTCCAAGAGACTCAACCACAAGTATATGATTTGCCGGGTTAGTGATCCGTACAGTCTTTTTGTTTTTGTGCCATGTGGCTCAGTGCGCAGACGCGTACGGCGATGGCGTGATGGACCGAGTTTTTTGTGCTTGTTCCGCGGTGTCGGTCCGTGCTTCTTGAAGGTTTGATCTTCCTTGTTGGTGGCTGGCGGGGAAGGGGGAGGGCCAAGGCGGCGGCAGCAGCGGCAGCGACGGCTGATGCTCGAGGGGGGCTGGGCCCCTTTTCACGCGTAAGTCACCAGATCTATCCGTTTTCGTGAGTGCCGCACACGCAACTCAAGCAAGAACAAGTGATCCGGGGTTCCAAGCCTCTGAATGAGTGAGTGAGAGAAGGAGAGATCCCGGAAGCAAGAAGCGATCACAGGGTTTGTAGGGTGTATTCCTAGAATGTATCTCGAGGAGGGCTTGATCCATCCCGAGCAATGCCTGGATGAGCAACGGCGGCAGCAGGAGGGGCAGGAGGAGGAGGAGGAGGAGTTTGATCACTTTGAGCGGCTGCCCGACTCGTTGCTGCTCACCATCTTCAACAAGATAGCCGAGATCAAGGCGCTGGGCAAGTGCTGCGCCGTGTCCAAGCGCTTCAACAGCGTGGCGTCTCAGGTGGACAATGTGGTGGTGCGAGTCGACTGCGTGCTATCGGGCGAGGACACGAACTGCAGCAGCAAGGCCAGCAAGGGGCTTGTGTCCAGCCTCGTCAAGCTCGTCTATGGCAGCCTCCTCAGGCCCTTCCAGGTACTGCAACAGATGCTCTCCTTCAGCGCTGGCGGGAAGAAGAGCTCAGGCTCCCGGCCGGTCTCCGCCACGGAGGTGTCTCACCACTCTCCGGGCGAGGTGCTGCGCAACTTCAAGGAGATCCAGACGCTACGGATTGAGCTCCCGGGTGGGGAGCTGGGGCTGGAGGAGGACATTGTGTTGAAGTGGAAGGCGGAGTTTGGGAGCACGGTGCAGAGCTGCGTCATGCTGGGTGCTTACAGGGAGAAGGTGGCGGACGTGAAACCGCTTGAAAGCAAGGAGGCGGCCGAGGAAGTCAAAGTTGGCGATTGCGATCAACACGAGGGGGAGCGGGAGCAGCAGCAGCAGCAGCAGGACGACAATGGGAGCATTCCGGAGACGTTCTACACGGATGGAAGCCTAAAGTCGAGAGTGGTGTGGACAATCAGCTCGCTCATCGCGGCGTCGGCCCGGCATTTCTTGCTGCAGCAGATCATAGCGGAGCACCCGACGCTGGAGAGGCTGCTGCTGACGGACGCAGATGGGCAGGGAACGCTGTGCATGAGCAAGGAGCAGCTGTGCGAGTTTCGCGACAGTCCGATCGCCGCCGCCTCCGTCTCTTCCAACCGGACTCAGGTCCCCGCCCTCAACATGAAGCTGTGGTATGCTCCCCTGCTGCCGCTGCCCGACGGCACCTTGCTCCGCGGCGCCACCCTCGTCGCCATCCGGCCCAGCGACACGCCGGCGCCCAAGGACCTCCAAAGCCTCGTCGCCGGCGCGTTCCAGGAGCCGTATGCCAGTGCCGCCAGCCTGCTGGTCAAGCGCCGGACTTATCTCCTGGAGATGAACGCGTTCTAGCGCTTTTTCTAGAAAGCAGGGAATGCCATTGGCTAGGTGTTTGATCGAGCATTGAAAGCTCTACAGTCTCTGCGGACCTCGCCCTGGCTGCCGGTCTTGATGCCGGTGTAGCCCAGCTTCACCATGGCTTGCATGAAGGCGAAGAAGAAGTCTTCCTGGCTGGCGGCCAAGCTGGCCACCACGGGCGACGTCCGCTTGTCCAGGGCCAGCGCCTGATCCGACACGAGCAGGCCCCTGTTGTTTTGCAGGTTGCGGTAGTAGGAGTTGTCAAAGGCTAAGGGCGTGGTGGCGTCGAATCCCCGCACCGTGTTGGGGCTCCCGCCAACTTGCGGGCACGAAGCCTTGAGCGACGCAGCTAGCGTCGGATCCAGCGACGGGTCCGTCTTTGCGGCGCTGCTGAAGTTGTAGAGCCTCTTGGAGAACTGGTTGCAATGGGAGAATCCAATTGTGTGTGCTCCTGCGAGGAACTATATCACTATCTAGTGTCGCTACTTGTGTAATACTATGCACACCTGACAGTACAACCAGATCTTCGATGCTCAAGTTGACAGTGGCCAGCAGGGTGATAAGTTGCGACACATTGAAACTGGAGGCCGGGAGGCGGCCCTCGACGCGTGCAGCGCGAGAGATGAGGCCGTCCCGCCGACCTTTGGGGACCGCCCACCTGGGGCCGCCACTCTGTCGTATGAAGCGCAAATATTTGGATCGTGAGAGAGAGCATCAATCGTCACTTACAAACACAACCACGTCCCTGGCGGCCATTGCGAGGATGTCGGCGCACGAGACAACCGCGGGGCATGCAGCCTCCACTGCCTTCTTGGCCTCCACAATTGCGTCGAATCCATTCTGCGGGAAGCTCAAATTGTCGGCCGCGTCTCGCTCCGCGACGTTGGTGGGCGTGGAGGAGATGAGAATGGATGCATCACAGCCCTGCCAGTGCCAACCAAGATCATACAATGTCAAGCTAAGCTACACTGCCAGTGGATGGATCGAATTCATCCATAATTCGCAACACGGCCTCACGTACTCACCTCCACCAGGCAATCGTGGAAGTAGAGGCGCAACACCGCGGGTGGAACCACATTGTCCCTTTTGGAGAGGGCGAGAGTGACGTTAGCGACGATGGCATCCACATTCGGACAAGCGGTCTTGTAGAAGTCGAAGGTAAGCTGGCCAGTTGCTCCATGTAGTAGACAAGACAATGAGACAATGACGATCCAAGAGACAACGTTAGCATGGATGGGATGAACCATCGCTCGATCGTAAACCGTAGAATCACAATGCAACGCGAGGAAATCGTCCTCTCGTTGTCGCCGTCGTCGTTGTCGTCGTCGTCCTCGATGGGTGATAGATGAAAGTGGCCGATTCGTGATCGATATCAACCAATCTTCTCCGGCTCTTGGACAACAATCATTCCTGGCGACAAGGTTGTGAAATTCATGGAGGCTTCGTTCGTTCGTAAGACTCATCTCTTTTGAGCCAGCCACTGTCCCGTCTCGTGACTGTACAAGACCACATGTGACTTCGCTGACATCGTAGGGCAGCCAGGCGTTCGATTCCAGCGAGGGGCTGCAACAAGGTTTAGGGTTTATAGGCCATGTCGAAGGCGCTGCTGCCGCTGCTGGCATGGGTCGCGATCCTGGTGCTGGCTGCAGCAGCGGCGCATCGGCTCCACAAGAATGTGATCGTGGAGCTCCACGCCAAATGGAGTGGGACGTCGCTGCTCTTGGAAATGGGGTAAGTTGCCTGAGCGCCATACGCTAGAAATTCCACTCTCCCGTGTGTGCTTGCAGTGAGCTTGTGGCCAAGGAGAGGGATGACAATTTCTGGAAATTCATTGACTCGTGGATCGAGCGGGAGGAGAAGGAGAGCCAGTCCTCCTCCAACAGCACCAGCAATTGCCTAGAGCAGATATTATCGCAAGGCTCCGCTTTGTTGGACGGTCACCTCGCGTCTCTCTTAGATTTGTCCCTCTCGCTGCGCAGCGCGTCACCAAAGCTTGTTGTCTACGCACAGCTCGCGCAGGAATCACTGTCAGCCTTCAACCTTCATTCCGGAGGCAGTGATCGGCCACGACCTCCACGGCAAAAGTGCTGCTGGGTGGACGTGGGATCCAGTCTTCTGCTAGAAGAGTCCGAGCTCCTCCACTGGCTGAAATCCTTGTCGGGCGAGTGAGTTACCGTCTCGTTTTTTTGTTTTCTCCTCGCTTCTCACAATGTTTTGAAACAGGCCTTTGCTGGATAAAGCTTTGAACTTGTTTGAGTTTGATCACGTCTATCCACAATCCGCATCTTTTGCCTACACTGCCATCCTATACGGCGCACTTGGTACGCCGTGCTTCAAAAGGTTCCACTCAATCCTCAGCGACTCCTCAAAAACTCAGGTACGCGAGGCATACTGCGGAGTGCTTTTAACTGCTGTTTCTTTCAGGACCTTGTGCGGTATGTGGCACGGCCATTCCTTCCAGATGGTTGCGAAGAGTCGTGCTCAGCTTGTAGTAAAGCAGGGGTCGGCGAGCCACTCAACCTTGCGGGCTACGGTGTTGAGCTTGCGCTGAAAAACATGGAGTACAAAGCTATTGACGACAGCGAAGTCAAAGCTGGTACCATGTGTCCGTGCTGTCTTCCCTTACCAAGTTTCCTTTGTGTGCCTCACCAGGTGGATCATCTGAAGATACCTCTGCTGAGGATCCCCTGGCTCAAGAAGTCAGAGGGTTTATCTTCTCGAGGCTTCTTGTACGTACATTGCATTTTCCTTTGTTGTACTGTTCTTATTGCATGCTCTCAGGAACGTAAGCCTCATCTTGAAGGGGAGCTCATGACGTTCAGAGACCAGTTACTGTCGTCCGAGATATCGGACAGCATGAATGTCTGGGAAGTAAAAGGTAAAGGGGAATAACGTTTACTCTTCTAGGTACTTACTCACGTTTCTAATAGATCTTGGATACCAAGCAGCTCAGAGAATCGTAGGAGCATCTGAACCATTACGGCTGATGCAGGAGTTGAACCAAAACTTTCCAAATCTCGTGTCGTCATTGTCTCGCATGAAGGTAACTATCTTCGTACATTCCTCGTCAGACTGGGCTTGATACACCTTTCTTTTTATTTATTTACCTAGATCAATGAGACCATCAAGCAGGAAATAGTTTCCAATCAGCAAATGATTTCACCAGGAAGAAATCTTCTTGCTATCAATGGGGCTTTAGTCAATCCCGAGAGCCTTGATCTTTTCACGTTAGCCTACTACTCTATGTAGATAGCGGTCTGCTACACTGACCTTCTGTTTTTGCAGGTTGATTCATATGGTGCATCAAGAGCTGTCCTTTGCTGATAAGATACTGAAAATGAAGGTCAGTATGACGCTCTGGAGGATAAAAACGTAACTATTTATCTCTACAGGTTCCTTCTAGTTCTGTGTCGAAGCTTTTGAGGCTACCTGAGCCGGTTGAATCAGTTGCAGTGAGAGTGGATTTTCGCTCCAAGGATTTTGTACACTATCTGAATGATCTTGAAGAAGATAATAAATACAATAGGTGGAGGACAAATCTGAACGAGGTGCTATCGGGTTCTTCTTTTTCTTTTCCATTGATATCTCGCCTAAATTCTCTGTATACTTTGATGCAGCTATTAATGCCAGCTTTTCCAGGACAGCTTCGCTACATCCGAAAGAACTTATACCATGCAGTCTACGTACTAGACCCGGTTTCCGTGAGAGGACTCAGAGTAAGCCGCTTGTGAGACTCTGAACCTTGCCCACCAATATTGATGTTCGCAGACGGTGGAGATGATTCTGCACTATTATCATAACAACTTGCCAATGCGTTTTGGTCTCATCCTGCTCTCGGCGGCAGATTTGCATTCATTAGACGAAGAAAATGGAGCTCGTGAGAAGGACGATTTATCCAGCTTGGTGAGCCGTTTTATTTTTCTTTCGGTTTCACCTGTTTCAATTTGAAATTCCAGATGATACGTCTTTTTCTTTACGTTAAGAATACGGGAGGAGTTTATAACGCTTTTGAGTTTCTAAAAAACGTGAGAGTTTCGTGGAATTTCCAGTATGATGAGACTTCTTTGCGTTGTAGGTTTTGGACTCTTATTCCGAAGATTCTGAAGAAAACTATACTGAGGCTAGACATATTGAGGAAGGATTTGTTAAATCACTCGGGTAAGCTTTTCTTTGTTGCTGTCAATTTGAACTCCGATGCTAATGCTTGCAAAATTCATAGGACTATGACGAAAACCAGTGCTATGGAGGTCTTTTCCAAATTGAAGAATGGTGAAGATTATAGAAGGGAAGCATTTGAAAGCAGCCAGTTTGTATACAGACTTGGTTTATCCGAAGTATATCCATGCCTCCTCATGAACGGTCTCGTTTATGGAGAAAGTCAGGTATACTGTCATTTATCAAATCTTAGGGACATTCCTAACGTGTCACTTGCACTTAGCCACAATTTTCAGTGATGGCGGCCATGAATGAAGAACTCCCTAAAATACAAGAAATGGTCTACTTCGGTCAAATACATTCGCGGACAGATGTTTTAGACAAGTTTTTAGCAGAGGAAGGCCTTAAAAGATATAACCCAAAGGTACTAAGCGCGCACTTGAGCTTTACAATTAACTTGTGCTGCATGCAGATAGCTGGCACTGGGAAAGATTCGAAGTATGTGTCAGTTGCACTGGTGGTTTCTGAGAGCCATCCAGTTGTATGTAGTCTCCAGTATCTGCACACACCTGGAAGTACGTATCCATTATTCACGTGATGTGCTGAAGCGATTGCATGCTTGCAGCCGAAGACGACGTAAAACCTGTAACTCACTGGCTACTTGTTGACTTGACGAAGGAATCTGGTATACGTCTGTTGACGCAAGGTGTCCGCTACATCGTAAGTTGTGCTTGATGAAGCGAAGAGTGTATTATTACCTTTGCTTCAATTTCAGATGGAAGGTACAGACAGAGGGCGTCTTGCTATTCTACATAACATGAAGGATGCGGACAATACTCCAGAATCATCAAAAGAGTTACTGCTTCCCCGACTTGTTAGTCACGTTATGCAGGCATCAAGGTACTAAACACTAAGGTTTTGTTATCACTTTTCTCTTACGGTTTTCTTTTCTCCAGTCGCCGAGCAAAATACCTGCGGTTGTTACATTCTTTTTTAACGCATTACAAGTCAGGCACTTTTGGGGAGGTTCTGCATTTGTATTTGAGTACTGCTAAAGAGATGGGTCTGGACATTGCGAAGGAGGCAATCTTGGAGTCCTCTACATTATCTACTCAGCTTTTACAGTTCCATAAAGTAATGGATTTTGTTTCTATATCGATGCTGACCAATAGTCTACAGGAAAAGAAGTTTGTAGCGGAATTGTTTGGCATCAGGCCAGGTATTAACGCCGTAGTTACAAATGGGCGGGTAAGTCCTTATTTTTATTTTACTCATGAGTTACCACCGTCTGTTTAGATTTCTATTCAAGACTCAAAACCTTTTATTGCGGAAGACCTCATGCTTTTAGAATCACTAATGTATCGGCGAAGGATAAAGGACGTACGGGAAATTATTGAAGATGTGAAGTGGGAAGGTTTAGAACCTGATGACATTACAAGGTATGTCAACCTAATTAATGTGGCTTTCCTCTCTTACTTTGTTGTGCTTAGTGCGTACCTAAGCACCGTCATCATGGCAGTCTCATCCACAATGGCGTCGCGCACTCGGAGCTCCGAGACGGCACAGTTTGAGCTCCTCAAGGCTGATCACAGGTATGTACTTATTTCACCTGCGTTTTCTATTCACGTGTTCTTTCGGTGGAAAGTGCTATTGTCCGGCATGTCGATGGCTCGCCGATTCAAATCGATGCGGTCATCAACCCGCTGAGTGCTCTTGCTCAAAGACTGACTCCTCTTCTGCTGATGCTTGAAGAATGGCTCCATCCAAGTATACGTATAGTCTTGAATCCGATGGTACGCTCGCCTGTGTCAGTTTTTCTTGCTTTTGACGTAAATTTTTCAGAGCTCACTGGGGGACGTTCCCCTAAAGAATTTCTACAGATACGTTCTACCGTCAAAAGTAAGACATCTGATTGTGTTGCAGCTGATGCCTGAGAGTTGCATGTTGCCAGGAAGAGTTTTTATCAGGTGGTATCGGGCCGCATGCGAGGTTCTCCAACATGCCCCCATCGAAGACGCTAACGCTTAATCTAGATGTACCCGAGCCATGGCTTGTAGAGCCTGTCGTGGCTATGTAAGTTGACGTTTATTCTACTATCTTGTACTGACGTGTACTGACTTGCAGTCATGACCTGGATAATATTGTTTTGGAAAAGCTCGACGATGAAAGAACTTTGCATGCCGTTTTTGAGCTTGAAGCTCTTATGATAACAGGTATTCACAGTTCTATATCGTTCTATCGCATTTCTTGATTCTTTTATTTGCAAGGACACTGTTATGAACACAATGAGCCGCCTCGTGGACTTCAACTTATCTTAGGAACTAAGCAGCACGCTCATGTGGTCGACACCATTGTCATGGCCAATCTTGGCTATTTTCAACTCAAAGCTGCTCCCGGGGTATGGACTCTTGGTCTAGCCAGAGGCAGATCGAGCGAGCTATACACTTTACAAGGACATAAACAAGGAACGGATGAGGGTCCGATCAGCAAGCAAATCTTAGTTGCTGACATGAGAGGAGAACTAGTACATCTTGAGGTGGTAAAACGAAGAGGGATGGAAGATGAGAAGCTGTTGGTAGTGGATGACGACAACGGGAAGAAAACATCTCTAAGCGTATGTTCCCCATCTTATCACATTACGTTGGCCTTATGCTATATATGCAGGACAAGACGAAAGGTTTCTTTGAATGGGCTGCGAATATTATGGGCACAGGAGAAAAGAAAACTTCAAAACAGAATACCTCGGTGAAGTTCTACTTTACAAGTTTTAGACTCACAGTGAACAATTTCATTACAGGCTTCAGCGAGGCATGGTGAAACCATCAACATTTTCTCGGTTGCGTCGGGGCATCTGTAAGTCTTAGATGTTTGAATGATCCGACTTTCTCACAGAAGGTTTGCAGATACGAGCGTTTTCTAAAGATTATGATGCTCAGCGTTTTGAAGAATACTAGACGGCCAGTGAAATTTTGGTTTATCAAGAATTATCTTTCTCCACAATTTAAGGTTGGCGGACTTGTAAATCGCGTCTAGCTGACAGGATTTCGTGCAGAATTTGATACCTCATATGGCTGTCGAGTATGGCTTCGAATACGAGCTTGTAACGTACAAGTGGCCTACCTGGCTTCATAAGCAGACTGAAAAGCAACGAATCATATGGGCCTATAAGATTTTGTTCCTTGACGTGATTTTCCCTCTCTCTCTCAAAAAGGTATGTGCTTAATTGCCTTAATGGCAATCCTCACTCCTTGAAGCAGGTTATCTTCGTGGACGCTGATCAAATAGTGCGTGCTGACATGGGGGAACTATATGACATGGATATAAAGGGCAGACCCCTCGCTTACACGCCTTTCTGCGATAACAACAAAGATATGGATGGTTATCGCTTTTGGAGTCAGGTATTCCTTTTTACTGCCATTGCTTGTTTTGTGTAACTATTATATGTCAGGGATTCTGGAAGGAACATCTGCAAGGAAAACCTTATCACATCAGGTAAAAATCTTTGGATCAGCTGTTCTTTTTGTTTACTTGCACTGTTGAGTTGCAGTGCGCTCTACGTTGTGGATCTTGATAAATTCCGCCAAACAGCAGCCGGTGACAACCTGCGTGTATTTTATGAAAATCTAAGCAAAGATCCAAACAGCCTTTCCAATCTCGACCAGGTGAGGTTTGAAGTTGAGTTGTTTTTAATTTTTTTTTCTCACAATTTGAAGCAGGATCTTCCAAATTATGCTCAACATACGGTACCGATATATTCTCTCCCTCAAGAATGGCTGTGGTGTGAGTCTTGGTGTGGAAATGCCACCAAGGGCCGAGCAAAGACAATCGATTTGTGTAACAATCCCATGACCAAGGAGCCCAAACTACAGGTAAAACCGCAAACTTTCTTGTGTTCGTTGGTAAATTCTCATTGTTCTCCACCGCAGGGCGCCAGAAGAATTGTCCAAGAATGGCCGGCCCTTGACGAAGAAGCGCAACTTTTTACCAAAAGGATCCTCGGCAAAGGCAGGGACGAGGAGAACACAATGCAAGTGCCCAAGGAACCTTCTTCCACAAACGATGCTGACGTGAAAGACGAGTTGTGAGCTCTTAGTAGCATACGAACGAACGGTAAACGAGTCAAGAGTTTGATTTATTTTATTGTATTCAAAACGCGTCTGGGACGTGGTTCCATGAATGATTGGTTTATGCGCTTCTCAGAACGGTGTTGGCGTCAATGGCTCCATTCTCGCGAGATAGTCGGACCGAAGCCCAGAGAAATCTGCCGCATCAGTTTGGAATCTCAACATGGCTGTCGGTACCAGATCCGCTTGGTCTAGACTGAAGTCAGAATCGAAGGCAATCGGCTTTGCCACAGCAACTGGATCCACAAGCTTGAACTCAACTTGGTTCTTGAGGGAGGCCTTGACGAACTGCACACGACAAATCTATAAGCCAAAGCGGAGATACAAGAGTAGAGACAACCTCGTGGATTGCGGACGTTGGCTCCTTGGGAAGAAACAGGCCCTGCAGCACCACATTGTCGGGGAAGAGTATGCGAATCACCGACACCTTGTACTTCTGACGTGCTGCAAGTACTTGCTTCTCCCTCAGAGACTTCGGAATGAGCAGCTGAGAATCTTCCAGTTTCTTTCGTTTGATCGCCGCTTGCTTCTTCACCTCGTCCAGCGACAGCTCGTAGAAGTCGGCCGAAAGCTCTGCACGCGACGCAGTACCTTCTGCCGAAACATAAAACACTCGCACCTGCCAACACAGTCGTCAGGACAAAATCCAGAGCCTGGACCAAATACCTGTCTGTCAAACGAACTCGCCTCTTCGGTTGTCCTCGCCGCAAGCTGTGGCTGTGAAGGCTGTGCAAGCTGTGCCTCGAGCGCCGCTACAACTTCCTTGATCACTCGCAAGCGCTCAGCTGACGGCTCTTCCATTACGTTCCACAGCTCACCTTGTTCCATGACGGCCTCGAAGCCCAGAAACTCGAGAAACTCGGCACCACCAACGGCCGAGCCAATACTCTCCTGGATCTTGGGATTTCCCATGCGAACTTTCCTGAACTTGTCCGACGCCGGATCTCTAATGATGTTTGTGAGAAGCCGGACGACAACTTGGACAGCTCCGTTGGAGGCGCCGCCAGAGAGAAATGTCGCCACGGCTACCTCCATCTTCTCTGTGTCGTCGTGGGTCATTTCCTGAGAGACATTCGGATTGTTGCTGCTTTTACTGAAGAGACCACCACCACCATCGTTTACGCTTGGATCGGGGAGTAGACGGGACCGTTGGGGCTCTACGCTCACCTCCGCCGATGCCGATTGCCTTGGAGTCAATGACGGCGTCGTCGGCTTGGGGCTTCTCGACTTGGATTTGTCGGCCTTGAGCTGCTCCGCTTCCCACCTTTGCTGCTGATTTCTCCTCCATTCGTCCTGCTGCTGCCGCTGATCGCTACTCTTGGCTGCTATGCGGGGCGACGGCTCTGGCTGCGGCTCGCCCAACCTGTGTCCCTCTCCCTTAAATCTGCTAGAGGAGCTGAAAGGATTCTTGAGCTTCTTCATCAGCCCCTTGGCCTTGTCCTTGACGTCGTCCATATTCGCGCATCAACCCTAGATGGACTGCTCTACCGCCGGGGGTACATCATGACCGTCTGCTTTATAAGGAGCTCCTTTAGCCGCCTTGGGTGTGCCGCATTGGAGACGATGGTTTGTTCCAGCATTTCCCGCAACGAGGATAGCGGCAGTGGCGGCGAGGCATTCAAGAGTGTCTTGAAAAACTTGTCCCACACATTCGTGTTCCAATACCTGAGAAAACGAGGGGAAAACGAGCTTTAGCTACCGTGGGAAGTTGAAGTACCGTTTAAGCGATGCTTTGGGCTTATGGACGCGACCACCGTCCGGGCTTCTCTCCTCTTCGAGCTCCATGTAGCTTCCATGGAGCATACAGTGCACTATACAGCATAAACCGTAGCCGTCAACCTGCAAAAGCACTTTATGAGCATCGAGTAAGAAAGCATTGTCACTCACCTGATAAGTCCATGGCCTTTCTTCCACCATCTCAATGCATCTAAAGGCCGATGTTTTGCTGTCTGCAAAAAACTCGGTCCCTTCTGGAAAGAGTCTCATATCTATGCTTCTTCCCCAGTCGATTAAACATAGTCCCTGCAACGCGAGACATAAGCCTCGAGGGACAGAAACTAAGAGATATCTTTTACCTGACCCTTCCAGCAACCGGGCCTGTTCGGCGCCCAGTTTTCCCAGTTGTCACTGAAACATAATATGCAAGGGCGTAACAAGGCAGAAAAACTTCCAGAATTACCTGTCGTTTCGAATAAGTAGATTGTCGGGCTTAAAATCAGCGTGAATGATGCCAACTCCGTGCAACACCTCAAGCATGCGCAGCATCTCGATCGTGTAATACATGCAGAGGAGCTCGTCCATTTTCAGCGAATGCGCTAGATACGCGTTCACAACGTCCTGGATGCAGTAAGTCATGAGATACTAACAATCAAGTGAAGAAACCCCACATCACCTGTAAGGTTCCATGCTGGCCATAGCCAGCAACCAAGATGCTGCAATCGGAAAATACATACATTTTCCGGGCACTGCCAAAGCTGTCTCTCTGCAGCAATGTACATCATATTAGTTACACAAAAGCTTGGCCAATCTACGTAACCTCTTCAACTGGGATCCTCTTGTCCAGCTGATAATATATGTAGAACTCCCACGGACACGGCGGCTTTTGGATCTACATATCATGTTTGAGACTCAACTGAAAAACTCCAAGGGGCGCTTCTCACCTTCAGTACAACTGGTGATTCATTGTTGCTGTTTTCGTGGGCCTGGTAAACTTGAGCAAAAGCACCTTGTCCTGTACATCCTTTTAGGAAATAAGTCGAGTTTCCTGTCACACAGAAAGGAAAATCTTGGTAACCAGCGCAACAAACAGAACCGTACCTAGTTCGACAGTCTTATTGCGTGCGTTCGCTTTGAGAGATGACAATGAGACGCCTCCGCTATATTTTTTGCTGCTGCAATGGAATCCCTACAGGCAGGCAACTCTAAGTTCATATAGAGATTATCACCAAAGACCATACCTTGTAAGTTTGCAAGGGTGGCGCCAGTTTCTTCAGCAAGTCCGCAACCAAGGTCTCGTCCCAAGGATCTACGAATTCGCTCTTGCGGTCTCGCCGGTCGTCGCAGAAAGCATCGTCAACGAATATATTGAAGTCCATCTTTCCGGCTCCCAGGCTTGGTTTGTCCTGTCCCTGTGGCTTCTTTGCCTGTTCCGAAGGAGCTTCATCTACAAAGACATTTAGCTCCATTGCTCCTGGTAGCTCACGTCGTTGAGATGAAGGTGCTTTAGGCTGCTTCACTTGATCCAATGGCAAGGGCTGGTTGAACAAGGAAAGAACGTTGACAAGAGCTTCTCTGGTGTTGATTGTCGGCTCAACCAGACCAATGTGAGTCTCCGCGTTTGCTGCCTCTGGATCAACTCCCAGAACGATAGCTTCCTCCGCGTACTTTTTGATAGCGATTGTCTCATCTCCATGAGGCCGTGCAATATTGGACATGGGATTAACAGCGGCTACGGAGCTTCCTTTCACTTCGGAAGGCCTGCTCGTCTTGAACTTGCGCTTCAAAAAGCTCGCGTGCATTTTCTCCAGTTGCTCCACCGGTTGAGCGTGTCTGGGAGGATGGAGATAAGTACAAAGAGAAAACAGCCAGTGAAAATGGCAGACATACCTCGAGATACCGAGCTCATAAATCTGGTTTGCCTTGGTTATGTCTCCTCGTAGCTCGAGGATCATCGCGTAAGCTTCGTAAAAGAGAGAATGAGTCTGGCCAATACGCTTCGCCTCTAAGAGCTCAAAGATGTGAAGTGGATCCGCGCAGCAGTCTGCCTGAAGCGGTTGCAAAGAAGGAAAATAAGAATACAGAAGCACCAAGCAGAGGAGGAGACTTACGTAGCGCAACCAGATGCGCAGGTACCTCAGGTCCTCCCGGTATCGGGGATCGTCCAGAAAAGCTTTGGTGCAAAACTCGAGCAATGGACAGAGTTCTCCTCGGACTCCCGGGGCGGAGGAGGAGGTGATGATGCTTTTGGCCCACTTGACACATCTGGGAGGGAAAATCTCGAGTGAGTGAGAGCGAGCGAGGGAAATGCAGGACGAGCACACTTACGCAACCCATGGCTTGAGCGGATCGCTGCCGGCGTAGCTCTGAATGGCGTCAAGAAAGTACCTGGACAAGCAAAGAGAGCACAGATCTGGATGGATGAACGTCTGCTGGAGCTCGATTACCTGCGCTGGGACTGGATGGCATCGCTGGATCCGTTGCTCTTGAGCAAGTCCTGGAGATTGGGCGGGAGATTCTCCTTACCCTTGTGCTGCGCCAATGCCATGGGCGGGAGCACAAGAACCCTAGCGAGAATTTGAAAGCTAGGGTTCTTGAGTGTGCCCAGCGCCAGTGAAAATGGCTGCTCGCAACCTGGCGTGTGACCTCATCAACGACCAATTCGGGGAGCTTGTCCAGGTAACGCCATCGCCATCGCCATCGCCATCGCTCGCAGCGTAGCTCACCATTGCTCTCTGGGTGGATGACGCTAGAAAGTATGCGACTGCCTTGTGCAGCGTGGAAGCCTGTTGCTGTCCGAGATTGCGCGCTTCACTGGCATCGACGTCGCGCCGCTGGGCGACTGCCTGAAGCAGCTCATCCAGCACAACTGCGTGCAAGCCTTTAGAGCATCGGTGGAGCAAGAACACGATGGCCTGGGTGAGTGCGTGACTTCTTCTTCGACTTCGCTTAGTTGTTTTTCTTTGCTTGTCTAGGCGCTGGAGGGAGGCCAGCACCAAAGCCCAACACCTTCTACATGCTCATACTGGACAACGTCCTCCACCGGATGCGCTTCCCAAAGTTTATGACGCTCGTCCGCGACGACATTGGCAGCGAGGCGCAAGGCTTGCTCGGCGCCTTACTGCAGCACGGCCGACTGACGCTCGACCAGCTGCTCAAACGCGCAGCGGAATGCGCTCAACCAGGTAGAACTCTCTCGCGCTCTTCTATTCTCACGCCTCCATTGCCAGGTGACGTTGAGGTCGAAATGAGCGTGAAGAAAGCATTCGTGGAGCTTGTCGAGGCGCATTTCATTGAGCGCTGCCCGTTGCCAGAGCCAACGTTGCCTCTGGCGGAGGAAGAACAGCCCAACAAGGTACCTGTGCTTGTTTGCCTACAACTACAAACAAAAGCTTTTCATTCCTTGCCAAACGAAGCGAGCCAGGATGACGGCTCAGACGCGGGAGCGGCGTGTACTCGATGCGGCGGCACAGTCGGACGCCCTCAGGTTTCGGTTGCCAGCATCGTTGCAACTACAATCCGGGGACTTGGTCACGCTAGATGATTCTCTTATCACGGGTCACAAGGTATCGCTCATTCACTTTTGTTATACTGAACCTTGACTGAGGATCACTTGGAACCAGCGCAAGGAAATGGATACGACCCTCCTTGACGACAAAGATGTTATTTGGCGAGTCAACTACGAGGAGTTCATACGTCGCCTACGGCATCAGGTAAGTAGGAGTAGTGCTCCCAGCTACCATCGTACGTAATCGTTTTATTTCCAGGCCTGCGTGAGGCTGGTGAGCTCCAAGTGTGACCTTGGGTGTGGAACTGTTTTGGCGTGCATTCTCGACAGAAGCCGCAAGGCAGAGCGGAGCGTCAGACAAAGGCTGTCCAGTAAGCTTTTAGCTCGATGCTTCGCAACTAGCTTACGTTTCGCTGTCAGGCCCTCTTGAAATGGAAGCGATTGTCGAGGCCGTGAGAAAGACAGAGGAGGGACGATGCATGCCCTTGGAAAGGATACGCTGCGCTCTTTTGCAGATGACGGCTGATGGTTTTGTCGTTGATCGAGCTGGTGAAGCGAGTGAACAGTATGCTATCAGTTCGTATTTCCGCCATTTTATTCTAGTCGTGCTCTTATGCCGCTCGGCATGTTTCCAGATATGCGAAAAATCTTAGATGTTGCGAGGCAGGCTGAAGTAAGTGAAGGAGATATCGTTATTCTCACATCTCATCTGCTCTGGCTACTTTGACAGATCGAAGGCATTGTGCTACAAAGATTTGGACGGAAGTGCTGCAGAATCTTTCGGCTCCTGTCAACAAAAGGCCGCCTGGATCACAAGCAGGTGTGCAAGTTTGAACGCTCGACTGTTTTAACGAATTTGTTGTGCATGTAAAGATCTCCGACAAGTCGCTCGTACCTTCAAAGGAGGCATGGGAACTGCTGTCGAAACTTGTCAAGGAGCACTTCATCGAGCTAGAGGCATGGCACTCTTGATTTTGTAACTCAATGCTAGCGTTTGACCTCGTTTCCTAACAGGAGGATGATCCAAAGCCTATCTCGTGGCGCGTCAATCTCGAAATAGTGGCATGGAACGTGCTCAACCAAATGCATAATGCAGCATGGAGTCTGGGCCGTCGCCTCTCCCAGGAGCTTGAACAGCAGGAGCAGGAGCAAGATCAAGTAAGTAGTATGGTTGCTTGCTCGTGAGACTTATGGATTAGATGTGTGTGATCCACCACAGGCTGGCGCGAGTGTTCCTCTTGACGAGGCGAGCAGCAGACGAAGAAACATCGCCAAGGTGCTCGAGGCATCTGCGACAAGGCTAGACGACGCAATCATGCTGTTCCACGACTTTTAAAGGCTTCAAAAAATTTCGTCTGCCAAGAACTCGTCGTACAAGCTCTCCGTCAAAAGGATTGCCCCTCCAGTCGAGAACCAATCTACTACTGCACCTTCTTATCGACGTTACTGCTCGCCTTGCTCCGTGTAAGTGGTCGCCTTCCGGGGAAGAGAGCCCGTAGAAGCCTCTCCCAAACAAAGCAGCCAAGCGACATCATCCCCGCCCACAGCAGCAGCTTCCACCCAAGCGGCTTTGGCAGTGGAACCAGCCTGAGCCAGTCATTCAGGTCCCTCAGCAGGTCGGAGCTGATGGTTGTGAAGAACAGAGCTGCGGCTGTTAAGGCGTAGAAGAACGGCTTGTTCTCTCGGATACTCTGGTTGAACGGGTGGCCGATGTAGTTCACCGCAAACGTAGCCACTTGAATCATCATGTTGGCCATGTACGAGACCGTGTTCACCAGGTTGGGGGTGAAGTCCGAGTCCGGCTCCACGCACTCCTCGGGCATATACGACTCGGCAGCCCGGACGACGGAAACCAGGAAGCAGAGGTGCATCGCAAACTGTCCCAGCATGGATATGATCACGTAGGCGGAGAAGATGTTGGGGTGCGGCCTCTGAGCGGACAGTGTGCTTAAAGGTCGTGCGTTCGAGATGAAAAGGAAGAATGCCGCCGTGAAGAGACCACTGATTGTTGCCTGCACGTCGCCAAGCTTCACGCCATCCAGGTACATGACACTGAGCACATAGGCCGTTGACAGGCAATTCAGGCCCAGGATCTTGAACATCTGCAACGTCGTCACCAGAGTGCTCCTGCCTTGACGTATGATATCGGCCGTTGGCTGCACCGATGCGTGCTTGGCAGTAAACGCGGACGCCATGGACGCATCACCAAGTCGCACCACGGGAGCGCTTCTACCGTCGTCCGAATTCATCTCGTCCATCATCTGCTTCAATTTCTGCCTTTGCTGCTCGGCACGACTGGCAGCACTGTTCGGACGACTTGTCTGCGAGGATGTCGGGGCCCTTTGTCTCTTCACTGTCACTATAGAGGCTGTTGGACAACGAAGAATATAAAGTGCAATGCCTACCGGTAGAGCTGGAGGCCGATGGCGATTTTCCAGGCACTTCTACAGCATTAAGTAGTGCGACCCCTACGTGCGCCTTTGAAAAACCCAATCAACGGTAGGAAAGACAGTTTATAAAAGAGATTACAGACCTGTTTCAGAGCACCGACGTCGTTTGTACCATCGCCGCACATAAGGGTCGTTCTACCCACATCCTTCAAGGTGATGAGAATGAGCTCCTTGTGATCCGGGGCAACTCTTGCATACACCTGTACTGAAGTAACCTCAGGACCGCACAAGAACATGTTTCGACCCTTACCTTTACGAAAGGTAACACTGATTCTAGTGCACCTGTACGCTGGAGCATAGCAAGTCCGTCACCAGAAACGCACAGGTCATAGTTGTCCGCCAATATCTGGATCTTCTCTACCCTGGAAACAGCTCCCATGTTCGAAAATATAAGAGAAAAGACACAGAGTCTTACTCGTAAGCTATCTTCGTTTCCTCGTCAGGCGAAAGCCAATTAAAACCATCCTGCCCGTTTGATGGAGGAGTCAAGATTAAAACTGGCTGAGAGACAATGTGAACTTGACCAGCAACATGACAAGCCGTAAGAGCTTGATCCCCTGTTATCATCACCTAAGAAACATAAAAAAAAACAGCGTCAGCGTTAGAGCACGAAAATCCAACGTTATGTACCAGATCATGAGACGAATCTTTGAGGTCTTTCAGAACGGAGGCCGAATCCTTCCTGAGAGGACAAGCAAAAACCTACGGCCGACGTTAACTAAAGAGAAAACTTGAAAAACTGCATCATACCGCAAAACCACAAAAAACTAAATCGCTTTCAACGCTCTGCCTTTCTAACGATCGAGCCTCGCCCACCTTGTATACAGCACCCGTTAATAGTAACAAAAAACTGCAATTATGTCCATAATCACTTACCGGAATGTCTGGAAGGACTTTGTAAGCTAAAGCTAAAACTCGAGCTCCCTGCCGTGTATACGTCTTATATGTGTGGACGTAAGACTCAGGAACGTGAACCAGTCTTTCTTGAATTGTTTCAGGTGCACCCTGGAAGGGCGAGTCGCCAGATACTTAAAGTGAAAACTAAACACTACCTTTGTGAAGGCCAGAAAGTTCTCATCTATACGCACAACGGTGGACATTCGTTTCAAAGAAGAAGAAAAGTGATGCCTCTGTATGATTTGAACGGCTGGCACGCTTCCCCTGTCACAAAGGAGCATAAAGTACACGTCTTTACAAGCACGAGCTACCACAGACCTGCGGGCAACAGCCTTCTCATCGGCTGTGTAAGACCAATCCACACCTTTCAGAGCAGCCTTCTCAAGAGGATCTCCCACCTGGAGGACACTTTCCACGTTAAGCACAGTCAACAAGCAAGGTATTACCAGTTTGTTATCCACGAAAACAAGGGCGTGGCAGGCGGCCAAAATCTGCAGAGTACGATCAGGGAGTTTCGTAGGATCGCTCTCGAGATGAGAGCCTTTCCCCTCCATGTTGCAAACCCCAAGAAATTCCTGTACATCAAACAGTGAGGAGAACTTCCATTTAAACAATATGTGTGAATACCATATCATCGCTCGTGAGAGTCCCAGTTTTATCAAAACAACAAGTATCAACCTGGATGCCACACCCCGTCAAAGAAATCAACAAAAGACTACAAGCCTACCTTCCCCGCGAAAGGTATTCTAAAAGGTTCAGTGCAATAGATTCCACGTCGTACAAGAGCTATGAGAGAGGTATTCACTGCAATCGAGAGTTCCATCGGCAACTCCGGCGGTATAACAGAAGTTATTATCATAGAGCAATTCAGGAACAGCTTGAATTTGCTGCGCGTTGGGTGCTCTAGCCCCTGAAAGTCGCTATGAATAAATAAGAAACTCCAAGCTTGCACAAAGAGAAACTTTACCTGCTTGAGGACATACCCGGCCGCAACCAGAGCAAAGAAGACAAGGAACAGAATGAAAAGACCACTCTCCCAATTGTTTGCAGTAACCTGCAGAGCATAGTAGTCACAATGGATCGCAATAAATCACGTGCTCACCCTCTCGGTAGAGAAAAGTATAGTCCGCATTAGCTTCCCTTGGCTCGTTTCGAAGCCCGTGCGTAGTACGACAGCCAAACAACCACCGTCCGGAGTTTTCAAGTGACTAGCCTGCAATTTCAAAAGAAGGCGATCCTCAACTCAAGTCGCACACAACTTTGCCTTGCCTTGTCTGGAGTATGCTGAAGTATTTTAGTTCCCCCAAAAAGTACGTGAGCTTTATCCTTTCGGATTGACAGCTTCTCCTCCATATCGCGGCCTACAATGGAAACCTGTCGATACACTAGTAAACGTACGAGAAGACGAGAATTCCGTATGATACCTTCCACTGTGGTGTCGATTCACCCGTCAGAAGAGCTTCATTGGCGATAGCCGTCCCGGCAAGAAGTAGCATATCGGCTGGTACCGTGCGTTCTTCGCTTGTTTGCCCTGTGGCTCGACCGATTGATACAAGATCTCCCGGTAAAAGATCTACTCCTGAGAGTTTTAACCATCTGCAGGAAAGGCAGCCAATGACACAACAGCGGACTTTTAAGTATCAACTTACTTCCCAGTGCGATACACATGAATTGTCTGACTATCCACTCGCACGCGACGCAATTCCGCGAGCGTTTTCAGGCGGGATTTGACGACAGTGGACTCGAAAAGGATCAACATGAAGAGCGTAAAGATGCTGTAGTACCAGTACTCGTCAAGGCACCATAGGCCTACACAAAACACCTGGGGAAAGAACATATAAGCCAGGGAACTTTTCGAACGATCAACAAGTACCTGGAAAACGAAGAACGGTTCCATGCAGTGCTCCTTCATTAGCTTCTGAAACGTAGGTTGAGGGAACTCAAAGCTGCATAAAACGAGGTCAGTGGGGAAATCAATGCCAAGGGCAGGGCGGGGCGCGAGATTTTCCTACACGTTCCGGCCCCATTTGCCCAAAGCGGCCTTCTCTTTCGCATCCGTTCCATAGCCGCTACTTCTGCTGTACACGCCAAACGTCTCTTTGGACGGATAGAGAAGCTTGCGAAAGGTATCGTCTGAAAAGATAAACTTTTGCTTGCGAAACTCGAAGCTATGCTCTGGCTGAGACGATATCGAATTCTTGGATCCGACTTCCTGATTGACAATGAAGCAATGGTCAGTCCCATGAAATGGATCGAGCGAGCGCATTTCCATACCAGGGTTGTATGCACCAAGGGAACAACTTCTTTGGAGCCGGAGAACTTGGCAGGAACAACTTTGACGACGTCGGCCTCGCGCACACGATTCACCTGCAAAGAAAGCCACGGGCACGATTCAGCGAGAGGGGAGAGAGAGAGAGAGAGAGAGTAGCGCGTGGAAGGCAAACCTTAGAAGCGTGCATGAAGCAGCGAAAATCCACCGACCAGGCAGTGAAGAGCACGACGAGAATGTGGAGCAAAGCCAGGCCGAGCAAGACGATCGCGGCATCCATAAAATCGAGCTGGGGAAGCAGCAGCAATGCCCAGGCAACATAGAGCAGCACAAACGGCCACACATCCAGCTGCCAGGCGACGCCGCGCCATCTGTAGAGCTCCACGCGCTTGATAGTCTTGGCGTCCACATCCAGCTCCATAGCGCTGCTGCTCACGATAAACCCTAACCCTAATCCTCTCGGCGGACGAACTAGCCTATAAGCCGGCCTCGCTCGAATGCGGCGGTGCCCCTCGTTGCACAGCCTGGACGAGGTATGGCGCCGCGCTCATCCCCAGGCTGGATGGCTGCGCAGCGCTCACCAGCGATGGCGGGCCCGCGACCTTGGCTACCTTGTGCGCCATTTGAGCAGGATTGGCACCCTCGAGAGTGTCCACGACCTCGCAGTTCTGTGGGAGCAGCAGTGGGACTGTGAGAGAGAGAGAGAGAGAGAGAGAGAGAGTGGTTTGATACCTGGATGAAGACGAGGAAGGGCGCCGCAGCATCCACTGGTACTCCAAACTTGTGTGCTATCTCCGCCTGCTCGTCAGCGTTGATCTACAAAGGAGGCACATTCGTTCGGGGCATCAAAATCGATCACGCAACTCACCCGGAGGAATGTTGCCTGTGGGGTGTCGGCGGAGAGGCGGTTCAGGAGCTCCTCCGCCTCCTCCACGTCCTTGCCTTGGCGCGGAGAGAAATGCAGCACCACCGCTGAGCCCCGCGCCACGATCGCCTCCAGCTCGCGCAGAGATGTCACGCTGCCCAAGCCCATCTCTTCTCTCTTCAGCCCTAGGTAGCGCAACGTGGCAAACAAAGGGGATGGATGGGGTATGTTATTTCTCACAGGGCCGAGAGCTCTTGGAGCTCTTGTTATCTTCTCTATAGCTTTTTGAAAGTGGCATATACCCGCAGGATATTCTCTTCCGCAATTCTTTCCCAGCTGGTGGGACGTCTATGTCTTGTCAGCTGGCACAGGGGCTTATCACGAGCCCGATCTGGGGAGACCTTCGTCTCCCAGTGCTAGGCCAGCGGAGGACTCACTCACCCTTTGGATCAGATCGATGGAATGGTGGTAAGCAGCGCATAGATCTATCGAACTAGATCGCAGAGGCAGGGTGTGGAAGTAGCGGGCGCACCTGCATTTGGCACAGGATGAACGATCTTCTGGGTGGTGATGGTGGCGCCGATTTGGAGGCAGGGCAGCAGCGCCAGCCGGAGCATGGGAGTGACAAGCTGCTGGGCCGCTTCTTCGACGAGGTGGGGAAGATCAAGAGCGACATGGAGAGGCTCAAGATGCTGCTGGGCAAGCTACAGGCCGCGCACGAGGAGAGCAAGACGATCCACAAGGCCAAGGCGATGAAAGCTCTCCGGCAGCGCATGGACAAGGACATTGAGGAGGTTCTCGTCAAGGCCAAGCTCATCAAAGACGAGATCCAGAAGCTGGATAGATCCAACATTGCCAGCCGCCAAGTTGGCGGATGCGAGGAAGGGACGCCCACGGACAGGACGAGAACGGTGATCACGGCTAACCTCAAGAAGAACCTCCAGGACGTGATGGCCGAGTTCCAGAAGCTGCGGCACAAGATCACGGGGGAGTACAGAGACACGCTCATCCGGCGCTTCTTCACCGTGACGGGGAAGAAGCCCGACGACGAGACGGTGGACTACATCCTCGAGACTGGAGAGAGCGAGAGCTTCTTGCAGCGGGCGATCCAGGACCAGGGGCGAGGCCAGATTGTGGAGACGATACGAGAGATCCAGGAGAGGCACGACGCGGTGAAGACGATGGAGAAGAACTTGCTGGAGCTCCAGCAGATCTTCCTCGACATCTCGGTGCTGGTGGAGTCGCAGGGAGAGCAGCTAAACAGCATCGAGCACCAAGTCCACCGCGCGGCAGCGTACGTGGAGCAAGGGGCGGGGAGCCTCCGCGGCGCCAGGAAGATCCAGAGGAGCAGCCGCAAGTGTATGTGCATTGCCATCGTTTTGCTCCTCGTTGTCATCCTCGTCGTCGCAGCTCCGGTCATCTTTAAGCTCAAGAAGAATTGATCTATCACACCAAGATTGCTTGCTTGGTTTCACTCCATGAATATTACAACTATCTGGCTGTGTTCATCCTTTTGAGAGCGACATAAGCCAGGATCCTGTAGCCGACGACCATGAGGAGCAGAGCAAACACGTCCTCCATTGGACCGGCCTCGTTCAGGTCCACGTCAGCCATTACTCGCGCCGAGGCAATGCTTTTGCAACCCGTTGCGCTGAGGCAGTCGTAGACCTGGGAGCGACTATACTGCACCTTGATCAACAGCCTAAAGGCGTAAAAAGTGTAGGAAACGTACTTGATCCACTTCACAAATGATGCCAGGCCCTGCTTGGATCATCACGCAACGTTATATCGTGAAAGAGGTTAAAACTTTCAAGGCTTACGTGAGTGAAAAATCCACCCGTGAGCATGAAAATGAGGAGAAGGATTGATGCCAGAGTTGTTGCATGCTTTGTGTCCATCATCGCGGCACCGATGAACAGACCAAGCCCCTGCAAGGACATATAAGATCAATCGCTGTGCTCTTCCAAGTGCGTCAAGTTTTCTCACCTCAGCGGCAATGACAATGAGGAAGAGGCTGAGGAGTGTAAGCAGGAAAGCCCCCACGGTGAGTTTCAAATGCGCCATGAAGTATGTGATGAGCAAGAAGACCAGCGGCAACACCAGGTTGAGCGGAAGATCACCGAGTGTTCTACTCATGAAATAGGAACTCAGCCTGTACATGTCAGACGCTCTTTCCTTCGCGATCATGGCTCGTTCTTGAGGGAATGTGTAGATGGCCACGAAAATGGGGAAGTAGGCCCAATAAATGGAGATAAAGAAGATCAGCCCAACCTGATGGGTTCATCTCCATGAGTTACTTAGTGCATGATAGATTGAATTGCTCACCTGGTCTTGTAAGTGTTTTTCCGAGTCGGCGCTTGAGTGCCACCACACGAGGCCGGCTACGACCGCCGAGACAAGAACTTGAAACACCCTCAACCAGCTCAGGTACTCGTGCCGCCTCTCTTTGAATCCGCGGCTCATAAGCACCAAAAACTGCTGCCACCACCCGATGCTCCACTCGCGCCTTGGCGGGAGGATCACGTCCTTTGCATGGGGCGGAGAATCAACACTGCTGTCCCTAAATGCTACCTCGGAGCTGAAGCACTCCACCAGATACTGCAAAGCACAGACCCCCGTGACTTACAAGATCAATGGAAACTCTAATGTGGAAAACTTACTTCTTGCACTGCAAGCTCGGGAGGCTTTCCTACTTTGCTATCACCTTTGCTTTGTATAAGCTTAATCTCTAGCTCTGGGGGGATGGACGTGTCACTGATGTTACCATTGGCGAGATCTAACAGGAAGTCCGCTGGATTCATAAGCAGCGATGCGTTGAGGCCGATGGAGCTGAAGTACGGCAGAGCATCCTGCCCTCTTCCGAAGAAGATAGCGTGGCCATTTGAGAGGAGGAGGAGATTATCAAACATATGGTAAAGCCGGCTAGAGGGCTGATGAATTGTTGTGATGACTGTTCGTCCAGCCTGACAATTGGTGGTTAGACTTTTCCTCAATGAATGAAGGGATCAATTCTACAATACCTGAGCAAGCCCATGTAACAATTGCAGGATCCTTAAAGCAGTTGTAGAGTCGAGGCCAGAAGTTGGCTCATCCAGAAAGATTATGGATGGATCAATCAGAATCTCCTGCCCGATGCAAACCCGTTTTCTTTCACCGCCTGATACACCACGCTCGAAAGGCCCTCCAATTATCGTGTCCTTGCACCTGCATTGCAAATTGCCAGTTAGCAAGGGTTAGCGAGAGAGGGAGAGTAGAACTCTCGCGAGCTAAGATCTTTCTTACTTATCAAGGCCCAGCTCTAGGATGATACTGTCTGCCCGCTGAATCTTTTCTTGCCTCGAGAGTTTCTTGGGCAGCCTGAGCAAAGCTGCATAGCGGAGCGTTTCTTTCACTGTCAAGTGCATGAACAGCACGTCATCCTGTGTCACGAAACCCATTCTGCCCCAAATCAAATGCTTGGTGTTTTCAAACCATAGGCATTACTTTCACTACCTATGGAAAAGAAAATCTAGAGCCTAGGCTTTTGAAAGTTTAGTACCTTCGCTTGAGTGCCTTGGTGTAGCCCATGTCATTGTAGGTGATCGATCCAGAATGTAAATTTGTTTGCGATCTTCCAGCTAAAAGACTGAGCAGTGTGGTTTTACCACTCCCGGAAGGACCCATCATCGCTAGAATCTGACCGGGTCCAACAGCGCCAGATACTCCATGAAGGATTTCCTTTCCAACAATATTGGAGGAACCACGGCACAAGGTTGAAGTCTTGAATCGGATGTTGCATCGAACATCCACAAACTGTGCGAGAGGATCCAACGATTCAATGATCAGATGAGAACAACACGAAATAGACTACCTTCAAATAGATTGGAATCACAACGCTCTTGATGTCCACGGAACAGTGTTGGGGAGCTACTTCCACTTCACACATACATGCAGGATCCTTTGTCTTGATCTTGATCTCACCCAATGAGATTTCTTGATGATCCACACATGATTGCCTGGGAGGAAGAGCCATGCCAATTGTAATGTATCTCCAGAGCTAACTGGAGACATGCACAAGAGCCCTAATTCGGTTTGCAAAGGCAAATATAAACACTGACGGTTGGCCGTCAAATTTCCGCCGCTCAAAAATGAAATCGAACACCTGTACCCGCCTTTCGTTATCAACGGCCACTCACAAATATTCCAAATTCCAAACTTAGTGGTCGATGGAGGCAATCTAAGATCGATCGCCCAAAAACAGCAGATACTTTCCAGATTCTACATATTTCTTTTGTGCTCCCAGCAGCCGCACTCACATGCCGCCCTTCCCGCAAAATCTCCTTTAGATCATGAAAGTTCCAGAGCTTCTTCCAGATGTTGCTCTTGTGATGGTCTCTTTTAATCATTCTAGAGCAATCATGCTTCCAAGTCCATGAAATGGCCATCCCATATGCCTTTATTGGGAATCTTGTTCCGTGTGGCATCCTCCAAGCATATTCAGACACCAGGTATCTACCATATGCCCAAGGATGGCATGGAGATTTGGATATGCCCACAAAGGTCATATTGATGATTTACATCAGGCAAGGAGGCAAGAGGGAGAAACAATGAGAAAAAAAACTCATCTCATCTCATCTAACAACGTCGCCTGCGCAATCACCTGGTTGATCACGCCATCCACAATCTCTCTTCTCAGCTCTCCAAAGAGTGCCGCAACTTCCTCATGCAGCAGCTGGAGTGACTCGTCACCACATCCGGCAGCCCGGTAAAGAACGCCCATCTTCGACAGCGTCTCGAAGTTCCCGGGAGCAGTCTCGTGCAGGATTCTCAAGTAGTCGCCAGCGCTTGGAAGCTCCGGATGCTTGAGCACGCAGACCGCAGAGTAACGCTCCACCTGTGCCGCACGGATGCAATCCTTCTCCTCGTCGCTGAAACCCCTCGCAGTCATCCTCTTCTCCAAGTCCAAAACTTCGTCGAGGGTCTTCTGCGCGTCACCTCGACGACGATCATAGAACTTAAAGCTGGCGACAAGATCCTTGTTCGTCCTCTCCAAGACGCACCGCTTGCAAGAGCACTCAAAGTCGAGGCGCTTGCACTTCACCTCCCGCGCCGGCAACGGAGCCAAGAGCAGTGGTTCCATGCTCCCAGTCGCCTCGAGATAAGATAGCAGAACCTCGTCACCGGCACTCATGTTCCTGGCAGCCCGGATGAACATCACGCGTCCGAAGCACACCTTGGAGGCATTGGGAGTGCACGAGTGATTGAAAAAGCCGCTCGAGGCCCAGACTCCGGCGATCCAGGCATCTCCGGCCTGGGTGGTGAAGCCGCACCGGTGGCCAACTCGTCTCACTCGCTCGATATCCACCTCCTCAACTTTCGATCCCGGCGGTACCACAACTCTTCCAATGTTGCACTTGAAGCGATCCAAGTCCGGTACCGTCGTCATCTTGCTCGCGTCCGCCATCGCATAGATGTGGTACCGTGGCCTGCTGGAAGTGCTGCAAGATCGTATCAGCTCCACGTACAAATCCCTGTCCGCGTTCTCGATCCTCGGAGTCTTCACGTACGCAGTCGGGTTGCAAACGATGAGCAGCTCCCCCCGCCTTACGTCCCGAGTGAGATACACACCTCTTCCTCGACCGTCCGGAGTCATCCTCAGCTCCAGAGGTCCGAAGTAGTCACTACACTCGGGTTCCACCTTCCGGCCCAGCACGAAGTCCGTGATATCGTACTCACCGTCCCGGCTCTCCCGCAAGTAAGTCCTGGATCTCTCCAAGTCGATCGAGACGTCAGGCGGAGCGTCCGGCAGCGCCACAGCCGACCGGAAGCACGGAAGTGCGAGCTCGTGCTCCTGGAGCGCGGTCAGGCTCTTGCCTTTGCACCACAGGCTCCGTGCATGGTGGCTATCGGACGCCCCCGGGATCTTGGTGGCGGTCTCGGCGTCCACAAAGGCCTCCTCGTACCGTCGCAGCCGGAGCCTCGCCTCGGCTCTCCTGGAGAAGACTTGCTTCTCCAAGACACCGTAAGTTGGAGCTCCGCTCTTGGCTCTCATGTCCAGCAGCTCGGTGTAGTACAGCTCGGCCAGCACGTAGCTCCCTCGACTGAGCAACGCGTTGGCTTCCTTGAGGAGCCTCCCGAGCGGCTTGGCGCTGGCGGCTCTCGCGAGTCCCAGGAACTCCACGGATGCGGGGCTGGAGACTTGCAGCGCGGACGAGAAGCACAGCGGCTCTTTGATGGCAACTCTGGCATTTGGCGGAAACAAGAGCTCGCCATCTTCCTGCCTCGAGGTGGAGGCGACGGCATTGAAGACGTGCAGCAGCGCACAGCCGCGGTCGTTTCCACCGTCCTCCTCCTGCTCCACGAGGCACAGCACCGCATTGGCGGCCGGGAGAGCTGCGGAGGTGCATATCTTAGCATACACTACGCGACCGTGATAGCAAACCTCGCGGCTGAGGCACCGGGTTCCAACGCAGGCGTCCACCATGTCCAGCTTCCTCAGCCCTGGCAGCGGCGCCGATGAGAGCTTGCATCCATCGCTCATCGCCGTGCCGGTGGCATTGGGCACGGCGGCCTTGAACGCGCGCAGCAGCACCTCCTTATCCATTGCACCCAAGCTCTAGGGTTTATGCCACGTCACACGAAAGCATATTCCCAGGATTTTACCTACATTCTTTTCTCAAGGGGTGAATCTCCATCCGCGACCAACGGTCGCAACGGCTACCACGTGTTGTTTGTCTGTTGGCCACAGCAACTAAAGCGTAAGCGTTAATGTGGGTTTTTAGCGCATATTCTGTCGCATTCACACACGCAACACTTGAGCTCCTGCCAAGGGAAAAAGGGAGGGACGCAAACGCCCAACGAGCTCCAGTTTTTTTAGGTTTGCGCGTTGCCAAGATCGATCCGGCTGCGCCGACGGAGGTGTAAATGGCGCCGATCTGGTCGGCGGCGCTGCCACTGCTGCTTCTTCTTCGTCACACCATAGGTAGGCGCGCGCCGGTGATTCTTTGTTCCTTGATCTCTTCCATAGTTCCGGGGCATAGCATTCCTGCTGCATTCTCATCTTGTTCCAGACTGGTCTCTAACGCCTCCAGGAGAGAGCAGGATATCACGGTGTGGCACTCGATCCGGATCAAGTGGTAGCAGCGCACCGCCGACCTTGGCTGCTTGAGGAAATCGACCAGGGCCACCATCCTCCGGGTGTAGGACATCACCCTCCTGGGGTGGGGCATCATCCTCCGGGCGTTGGACACCATCCTCCCGGTGTTGGACACCATCCTCCCGGCGTTGGACATCATCCTCCTGGTGTCGGTCACCATCTCCCCAAGCGTAAGTCTGATTAGCTTCTCTTGGCAGCAATGTAGATCCACTCATGCGTGAATTCATGCTCTACAGCCTCGTCGCTAGCTCGGGCATTTGTGGCATTGCAAGCCTGGAAGCGCATGATCTTTCGCGACCCGCTAAACATTACCGGGAGCTGGGTGGGCAGCGAAGTATGTAACTACAGAGGTGTCTTTTGCGGGCCTTCTCTCCACGACCCTACACTCCGCGTTGTGAGTGGGATGTACGTGTACATGTAGACCATGCTTGCGCGGTATTTCACTGACCTTTTGATGCGTTGCTTGTTATTCCAGTGATCTGAATCACGCCAATCTTGGTGGTCAACTCCCCAGTGAACTGGGACTTCTGACCGAGCTCGGTATCTTGTGAGTGTGGTAAATTCATCCACCGTCCAAGAGTTCTTGCTTATCTTTTTCTTTTCCTTGTCCAGTCATGTGAACAGCAACGAATTTACAGGGGGGCTACCCGAAAGTCTGAAAAATCTCGTTCTCCTTGGAGAACTGTAAGCATTTGCGGTTTAGCTGTTGGTCTTGACGTTAATATTTTTACAGGGACGTAAGTAACAACAAGCTGTCTGGAGTATTTCCTGCTGTTACTCTGCAATTGCCAAGTCTTATATATCTGTAAGTTGACACTTTTTCTTCGATATGATATGTAAGTTTGGTACTTTTGCAGGGATATAAGATTCAACCGGTTTTATGGAAGCATACCCGCAGAAATCTTTGATAAGAAGCTGGATGCACTGTAAGTTACTATACTGCAATTATCTGAGACAGGACTTGACGTTTGCTGTCTTCAGCTTTGTCAACAACAATAACTTCGGAAATCCTATCCCGGCCAATTTCGGAAACTCTCCAGTTTCTGTTGTGTACGTGTCCTGTTGCACATTTTTTATGCTAAAACAATTTGTTCTGTTGCTGTCATGCTGTAGGGTCCTCGCCAATAACCAGTTCACTGGAGATATTCCGAATAGCTTAGGAAGCATGTCGAGGACATTAAATGAAATGTGAGTGACGACGAAATGTCGACCATACTGCGCCTGATCCTTGGAGTTCTATTGCAGAGTATTTCTCAACAACAGTCTCGCGGGTGCCCTACCATCAGAAATCGGACTTTTGAATCAAGTATCTGTATTGTAAGATGTTTGTTTTTTGTTTCGAAGTTTCTAATACCTGCTCCTGTGTGAAGTGACGTGGGCTTCAACAAACTAAGTAGCAGTTTGCCCGACAGCATCGCGAACATGGTTGAGCTGGTTGAATTCAACGTCGGAAACAATCTCCTCTCCGGAATTCTGACTGACAATGTCTGCAACTTGCCGAAGATAAGAAATCTGTGAGTTTCGCTAAACGGTCTTGTATGTATGTTAGTAAACCTTTTGTGTGTGCAGGACCTTGTCTAACAACTACTTCATTGGGGAGAGTCCCTCGTGCGCGTCTCTATCAAGACGAGGGTATGCATCGCACTCGTTCATGTTGTTTTTTGCGTGACGCAATTTGTTTTTGCAGTGTGACGGTAAGTACGAGTGGGAACTGTTTCTCAAGTCAGAGTGGCCAGAAGTCAGGCAAAGAATGCAGAGATTTCTACGGTAAGCTCGTTAGGAAGTTATGCGGATTGTGCTAACTCTTGTTTTTCTTCTTCTTCTTCGCTCTCAGCTCCACCTCCACCTTCAGCACCAGCTGCTCCACCGGTGGGAACACCCCCACTATCTCCGACACCTCTCCCTCCTAGCCCGATATTTTTTCCACCTCCAACTCCACTGGCACCATTCGGCTCTCCACCTCCACCGTCACCAATCGGCTCTCCTCCACTATCTCCGACACCTCTCCCTCCTAGTCCGATTTTATTTCCACCTCCACCTCCACCGTCACCAACCGTTTCTCCTCCTCCAGCATCCTGTCCATCGGGATATAGCAGGGGTCAAAATTCGGGACATTGCTTCCAGCTTGTGAAGCAGCATGCAACCTGGAGCAATGCCGAGAAATATTGCGCACAACATGGGGGTCACTTGGCAGCAGTGACGGATTTTAACGAACTCAAGGACATCGGCGACTTTTGCAGCCAGGCTCCCCCGAATCAAGGTAAGCACGTAGACTGTCTCGTTCGATATTTCTAACAGGAATTATCCTCTTGCAGCATTGGTGGATCCTTATAGTCCTAAAGGTCAAGGATGTTATCTGGGAGGCCAGAAAGCGAACGCCTCCTGGATCTGGCCGAGTTCTCCATGCATCAACTTCAACAGCAGTTACTGGAACTTCTTGGAGCCGAATAACTTGTATGGAAACGAAAACTGCACGTCCATAAAGTATGAGCCCCCAATCTTGCGAGCCTCGGCTTCTTCACTAGCATACATGCTCAACGATCTATTCTGCGAACACGAGCTTCCGTTCGTATGCGCACCAACAAGATGCTGAGCCCGAGACTAAAAAGTTACGTTTTATATAAAATACAGCCCGGCCAAGTCCTCCCAGGTAAACAGAAAGAACACAATCGAAGCGTTTTAACTGCTTTCATCTTTTGCAGCATTGGCAGCAACATCACCAGCAGCAGCAGTAGCACGCAGCGCTTTTCTCAAGCCGAGCACTATAAACAGATTCGTGACTGTAAGGAAGGATTCGGCACCGCCGTGAAGCCAATCAACGTTCGAGAGAGATGTGCCGTAGTGAACTTTGGCTGCATAGCAACACACAGAGTTCGTCATCAAATCGTGGATATAAGGCTTTCGCATTTGCGAGCGTACCATAGATGCCAGCAGGAACTGTGGTAGCACAGAAGCGGTTCCAAAGACGTACATATGTTGCAAGTTAGTTAGATCCACAACCAAAACAAGACGAGAAGACTTACTTGTAGCTGCGACGAATGCGAGTAGAAAGTAGAAGCCAAAGAGGGTGAGCTGGGGCGCAGTCTTGGACTTGGTAAGGTGATAGAGGAAGCCGAGATACGGGAAGAGCGATGCAGCAAACAGCTGAGACGCCAGGCTCTGTGAATTGACGCCACCGGGAGACCAAGGATCCACCACAGTCGCAGCAGTAGCAGCGACACTAGAGGCCGCGAGCTCCACCAATTCAGTAGCACCTGTTGCTGCTGTCAATCTTCCGGGCCTGCGATTGCGAAGACGGCCATTGGGATGCAAACCCGTTGTCGCTGGAGGAGGAGCTCCCGTGAATGCTATCACCACCATCGTCCTAAACCAGATAGGTAAGTAGAGACTGACTGTCTCCCCTCTACACCACTTCCAAAGAATGACCGCCCTTGTGCTCCGGTCTCGGCATTGCTTCCAGGGCCAAGGATTTCTTCACGTCCATATCCGACATGCTCTTTTGCCTGCGCTGCACGTCCAGGCCACAGCTGGTCTTGGACGCCGGAACCTCCTTGAACTGAAACTCGGACGATCCAAAACTCTGGCGCTTGTCACCTCGGTCGTCGCACATTGCGAGCTCTTCGAGTGATGGCCGGCCACAGAAGCGCATACCGGGCTTCTGCTTGTATCTGTCTCTCAGCTCTAGCACTGCCTGCTCGTGCTGTCTCCGGAGTTGCCTCAGCTCCTGCTCTTGCTTGTGTGCCAGCACCGCCATCTCCCACTCAAGTGGATCGTCAATCCCAGCACTAGAGCCTTCTTCCTCGCATGATGACCCCTCCTCTGGAACAGCACCGGCATGCTCGGGTCTCTTGTCTGGAACTGGCGTCGAATGGAAGTCCCACAACTTTGCTGTTTCCTGATTCTCTCTCGGAGTCGCGTGAGATCTCATTGGCAACGACTGATACGTAAACTCCTCGAATCGTCCGTGCATTGTTCCCTCCAAGTTCTGTGGTGAAAGGCTCTCGACTTCGGAGTTTCTGGAAGATACTGTCTCGCAAGTGTCGATATCGTCGGTATCGTGAAGGATGGTGTCTTCTCTGTGTTCTTCAAACGAAGCCCCGGGTCTCCAGTGAGGGACCAGCAGCACTATCTCCGCATCGATCATATCAGCGATGGTCGTGACATCCTGGTCGGAGAGGTCTAGCTCGGCTACCATTTCACTTGCCACGCATAGTGCAGTGTCAGCTTCTACGTCGAAGGGGAAATGAATGTTTCGAATGCAGCCTGCGATGGAAAGATTAAAGAAGCCACTTTGAGCAGAGAAGCATACCTTCCTGGTCCGCAATCCGGAGTTTTAAAAAGATTGTGTCGTCGTTTCTTCGCCTGACTCTTACTCTGAAGTCTCTGCTGCGCCGTGTCAACTCGTGGTGATTGTGATGTGCACCTCTAGGTGCCAGGTCATAAGCCATAGCTCCAGCGTGAATAGTGGACAGCGAGTCGTCGCCATTCTCTTCGAGAATTACTTCCAGCTCGTCCATGCTGTTGTGAGGCTCGTGAACGACCCCCCTTTCCGCTGTATGGCACTGAAGAAATGGATCCATGAGCAGCTCTCTTGCTGGAAGCCTCCTACATGCTTTGGCTAGGCACTGCTCCACAAAAGCCCGCATTTGAGGATCCTGAACTTTGTTCAGCGCAGCGGGCTTCTTTCCCTGTCACAAGGAGTCACCAGGGAATTAGTAACCGGTCGGGAAACTCTAAGATTGAGCTCACCGATGTAACCTTCTTGTAGATTTGGGCCGCATTCATGCACTCGCTGTAAGGATACTCGAAGGTGACCATCTCCAGGAGGCACATACCAAACGAGTAGATGTCGACAAGTTCATTGTAATCCTCCTCGTACAGCTCAGGAGCCATGAACTCCGGCGTTCCTACACAGTGCATGCTCTGTGAATATCTCAGAATTCCAGCAACCTCTTCTTGTGCTGCTTGAGCTTACCAATCACGCTATGAGCACCGTGTGCTTGCCGCAAAATCCCAGCAAGTCCAAGGTCTCCAATCTTCACTTCGCCGTGGTTTCCATTCACAAAGATGTTGTCACACTTGAGGTCGCGGTGTATGATCGGTGGATCATGGCTGTGCAGATAGAGAAGCCCCCGCAGAATCTGCCTTGCCCAGTGCTTGACAGCCTTCAAATCAACATGCTTGTGTTTCCTACGGTACCTGCTCTGAGAGAAAGAAAAATTGATCAAGCATCACACTTGTTTTGAGCACAGAGAAGAAACAAAACTTACTGCCTCAAGTTCCCCGACGTGAATATCTCGGTGATGAAATTCACGTTGTTGTTCTTGGTATCCACCCACGAGTTGTAAAACTTGATGATGTTCTTGTGCTTGAGCGATTTGAGCAAGTGTACCTCCGAGTATAGGCGCTCCAAATCCTCGGGACTCCTGAGCACATCGTGGAGCTTCACTTGATTCCAGGCAACTTCGATCCCATCGATCTCATCGAAAGCCTTGTATCTGTCACGATTGACAAGTTAAAGCCAAGGAAGCGCAAGAGAAGACAACTTACACAGTCTTGAAAGCCCCTTTGCCGAGTAGCTCCTTGTACTGCGCGGGCATGAAGCGTTAGATTACTCTTTTATCATCATCGCATCGCTAAAGCAAGCACATACCCGGCCATAGCGACCAGTTGGATCGACTTCCACGAATTCTGCCTCATCCTCACTGCCTAGATCCAGCTGAGAGCTCATTCTAGAAGCAAGAAATCTGGATCTCGATCGATTCTCACACTGATGGAGCTGCGCCTCCGCCTGGCAGCCGTCGCCGGTGCGCATTGGATGGATCCGTGGAGCTAGAAGATCACGCTACCCTCCATTGCCCGACTACTTAGGTCGAGGAGCTAGCTAGGTTTACCCACCCAACACACACCCAACCCACACACACTCTCCACACATCACACACGCACGAGTTACTCCTAATTAAAATTCTATTAACACATAAATGGTTTAAACGCCGTGGATCTGGGTTAAGCTTGAAAAGCATCTTTCCGCCATACAGCGCCAAGGAGCTAGCTAGTGAAATGGTGGAGCGCGAGAGTGCTAGGGCAGGGGCTGGGAATGGAGGCTCTGGCGCCGCGGGCGCTGCTGCTAGCCGCCGCTCCTCGATCCAATGCCAGAATCTCCATCGCCTCCCGGCGGCCGTGCCACAGGAGGATAGTGTGCTGCAGCCACAAGCGGGTGAATTCCGCCACGGTGAGCCTGGAATGGCTGACATCGCTGGTTTCTGGAAGAGGGCGCGGCGAGACTGCTATTCCGACTGCCCAGGTGAGGCTCGAGGACTTGACCAAGCTGCTCCAAGGCTCGCTCTTCTTGCTGCTGTTCAAGTGGATGGGAGAATGCGGCCCTGTGTATCGACTCACTGGAGGGCCGATTAACTTCATCGTGCTCAGCGATCCCGCCGCTGCCAAGTACGTGCTAAAGAACTATGGGAAGTACGCCAAAGGCCTTGTTTCCGAGGTGGCCGAGTTTCTCTTTGGCTCTGGATTCGCGACTGCTGAGGGTCAGATATGGATGGTGAGGTTTTTTTAGCGACTAGCCAACTTCTACTAGAAGTGCTCATGATCGTTCTCTCCTTGCAGACTCGCCGAAGAGCGGTGGTTCCATCTCTTCATCGTAACTTCTTATCCACAATGGTGGATGGGGTCTTTTGCAAGTGCTCCGAGCGGCTTATTGACAAGCTTGACAAGGTCGCGCAGACAGGAGAGGCAGTGAACATGGAGGCTCAATTCTCTCAGTTGACACTGGACGTGATTGGCTTGTCGGTCTTTAACTACGATTTTGATGCGCTGACGACCGATAGCCCTGTGATCCAGGCTGTTTACACGGCTCTCAAGGAAACGGAATCTCGTGCTACAGACTTTGTTCAGTACTGGAAGGTACTCGGTGTAGAAAGATGTCGTGCACTCTTACCATTTGCGTGCAATGCAGGTGCCTTTGCTTTGTCAAATTGATCCGAGACAGCGAAAGGCCGCCAAGGCGGTTTCTCTCATTCGAAACACTGTTGAGGATTTAGTTGAAAAGTGCAAGAAGATTGTTGACACTGAAGGGGAGTGTTTGGAGGGCGAGGAGTACGTGAACAAGTCCGATCCAAGTGTTCTTCGGTTTCTCTTGGCAAGTCGTGAAGAGGTACGTCACGCAACGGTTTTTCTTCACAAAAAAATACTCTTTCCTTCTGATGTAGGTGTCAAGCCAGCAGTTAAGAGACGATCTTCTGTCAATGCTAGTTGCGGGACATGAAACCACAGGTTCCGTTTTAACTTGGACAGTATATCTCCTAAGTAAAGTGAGCAAGTAGCCTCTTCTATCGTCATTATGTTTAAGTGTGGATTTTCTTATTTTCTTTGTTTTTTTTGTTTTTTTTTTTTTGCTAGAATCCTTTGGTGCTTGCCAAAGTGCAAGAGGAGCTGGACACTGTCTTGAACGGTCGTAAGCCCACAGTCGCAGACACGAGAGAGCTCAAATACCTTACACGTTGTATCAACGAGTCCATGCGTTTGTATCCTCATCCTCCTGTATGTCTGCGTAGTAGACACGGTCTTGTTACTAATTTTCTTCTTGCGCAGGTGCTCATTAGAAGAGCTCAAGAACAGGATACACTGCCTGGCGGATATAAACTGGAACGCGGCCAGAATGTCATGATATCTGTGTATAACATACATCATTCACCAGCTGTAAGCTTCAAATCGCATGTTGAATGTTTCCTGATATTCATAATCACACGCAGCTCTGGGAGCGAGCAGAAGATTTTGTTCCAGAAAGGTTCGATCCAGATGGTCCCATCCCGAACGAATCGAACACAGACTTCAGGTGCGGCTAGTAATTTTATTATGGAGCTCTGCTCACTTCGAAAGTTACTCGATTGGCAGATACATCCCATTCAGCGGAGGGGCTCGAAAGTGTGTTGGAGACCAGTTTGCAATGCTGGAAGCACTTGTCACACTAGCAATGCTGCTCCAACGTTTTGAGCTCGAGCTGGTTCCTGGTCAAGATATTGGGATGACGACGGGTGCAACAATACATACGACTAAGGTAAGAGTACGTATACAGTGGAGGAGACCATTGACAGGTCTTTGTTGTGCGTTGTAGGGTCTCTTCATGACGGTAAAGCGACGATGAGAGTAACAGTTTTCTAGAAAAGAAGAAATTTAATCCGCGGATACAATAATAATCAACGATGAGAGTCATGGCCGTTCCTTTCAAGGTGGGCTTGTTCTCATCTCGAGCCGTATGTTTCTTCAAGTGCTGTTTCCGTAGAGCTAGGAAGGAATCTTCTATTTCCTGTAAGGACAAAGGTGGAAAAGCTGGCAGTCTGGACAAACGGCCAGCTGAAGAGGCGAAGTGAAGGACAAGTATACCATCTTTGCCAGAATCGCCAGGAACTAGAGGCCTCAATTCCACCTCTCCATCAGAGAATGAAATGCCTGTGGGAACTCAGGAAGAAGGCGTCCTTTTCTTAGGGGGGTAGCCATCTGCTGGCATAAGTATGGTATGAAGTAGCAGAAGCAAGTAGCATCGAGCGCAAGCAGCAGCGGCAGCAAATTCATGGCTCGTCAGAAGCACAACGGATTACACCGCCACGATCAGCCGACCCTGCAAAACTTACTGGGAAGTGCGACGCCATATAGCCATGCTGGAAGTGAGTACAGCGAGAAGAACGACAAGCTCTACGGCCCGGGCCTGGTATTTGAAGATCTCTTGTACAGTGTGAGCAAGAAAGTGAAGAAAGAAGGCAAGTCGGTGGTGACTTCAGTGGATTTGCTGCATAACATCTCGGGCGAGGCACTCAAAGGCCATGTCACTGCTGTTCTCGGGCCGAGTGGAGCTGGGAAGTCGACTTTCCTGGACGCTCTAGCAGGCAGGATTTGCAAAGGAAGCCTGCGAGGCCGAGTGACGGTGGATGGCAGGGCAGTGAGTACAAGCATGATGAAGAGAATATCTTCATACGTGATGCAGGACGATCAGCTGTTTCCCATGCTCACAGTGTACGAGACGTTTCTTTTTGCGGCTAACGTTCGGCTTCCCAGTGCGTTCACTCCGGAGGAGAAGAAGGCGCGTGTCGAAGAACTGATCACGCAACTTGGCTTGGAGGTGAGTTGTTTAAGCTAAACGTGTACGCTTAGACTTACATGTGATTGTTTTCTCCTGTAGCATGCAGCTGATACGTACATAGGCAACGAAGGAGTGAGGGGTGTCTCCGGCGGAGAAAGAAGGAGAGTGTCAATTGGCGTGGATATCATCCACGGGCCATCTCTCCTCTTCCTTGACGAGCCAACTTCGGGATTGGATTCCACGAGTGCATTCGTTGTGGTGGAACGTCTGAGGGACATTGCGCAGCGGGGAAGCACAGTTATTCTGACCATTCACCAGCCGTCCTACCGCATTCAGCAGTTGCTCAATCGGCTCATTGTTCTTGCGAGGTAGGCATGTTTAAACTCTAGCTAGCTCTTATTACAGCTTTGAGTGGATCTGCTTCTCAGGGGGAAACTGATCTACTTAGGAAAGCCTGATGCGCTCGAGGACCACCTTGCAGGCCTTGGACGGCCTGTTCCCGACGGGGAGAATGCACTGGAGAACCTCCTGGACGTTATCAAAGAGTATGACGAGTCGGACTTGGGTTTGGAACCTCTGGTGCAGTTCCAGAGGGATGGCGTTCGACCGGATGGGCTTGGAGCAGAAGCGACGCCACTGCCATCCAAGAACAGGAACAGGAATTACTACCAAGTCGACGCCGAAGATGACAATGACTTCGACCGCTCCCTTCCAAAGAGCATGGCCATGACTCCCTTGCACAACGATCCCAGGCTTGCGGCTCAGTTTTACAGGGAGTTCTCCGCGTGGCTGTACAACGAAGCCATTGACACGTTAAGACGGACTCCGGCGAGGACACCGGCAAGAGCTTTACGGGGGCCAACACTCTCTGCATGGAGGACGCCTATAGTGGCACCCGAGAAGCAACAGCGGCAGCAGCAGCAGCCAGTGGACGTTTCGGTGTCTTGCACCGTTGCTCTGGATGACCGCTTCCAGCCGGCCCACGCGCCATACTCGGATTTCAGCACCGATGACGAGGAGGAGTCGGAGGAGTGGAGGCACAAGTTTGCAAACCCATGGTCGAGAGAGCTGGTGGTTCTCATGTGGAGGAACTACAAGAACGTGTACAGGACACCCGAGCTCTTCCTCTCCCGCGAGCTGGTGATTGTGGTGATGAGCGCAATGCTGGCGACACTCTTCAAGCGGCCAAAGGACACTCTGGACGGCGTGAACGAGCTCATGAACTTCTACATCTTCGCGGTGTGCCTGCTCTTCTTCTCCTCCAACGATGCCGTGCCCACCTTCATCCAGGAGCGATTCATCTTCATCCGGGAGGCGTCGCACAACGCGTACAGGGCCTCCTCGTACGTGATCGCCAACCTCATCGTCAACCTCCCCTTCCTGGCCATCCAGGCGCTCACGTTCGTGGTGATCACCTGGTGGACTCTCCGCCTCCACGGCAGCGTCTTCACCATCTGGCTCATCCTCTTCGCGTCGCTCATCACAACAAACTCGTTCGTCATGTTCGTCAGCGCCGTGGTTCCAAACTACATCATGGGCTACGCGGTCGTCATCGCCATCACCGCGCTCTTCTTCCTCAACTGCGGCTACTTCCTCAAGCGCTCCCAGATCCCCGGGGTGTGGCTGCCGCTGCACTACATCTCCACCATCAAGTATCCCTTCGAGGCGCTGCTCGTCAACCAGTTTGACAATGGCTACCACGCGTGCTACGCGAATGGGCCCGTGTTCGAGAAGCCGGGGCCGCTGGGCAAGGTTCACACAAGCGTAACGTCCAACTCGTCGTGCACGGTGGATGGAACCGACGTCCTCAAGACCATGGACATGGGTGGCGCGCGAATCGGGGTGGACGTTTTGGTCCTGCTGGCCTGGGGGGTGTTTTACAGGCTGCTCTTCTACGTCATCATCAGGTTCTACTCCAAGAACCAGCGGCATTAGATCTCTTCTCTATGATATTTCGATAAAGCTCTAGCGATCATAAGATCACTAATAAGTACTAGCGCAATAAAGACTAAGTTTCGGATCATCCTACGTGGCGGCTTCCTGGCGTGTGATTCGTGCTTGGCCTATCCGCGTTCTATCCACACCATCCCTGGGCTTGGAGGTGAATCCACACACACCATCACTCACTAGTGCTCTTGAGTTTCAAGGGCGCGATTGCTAGCACAGCAAAGATGCAGGCTCTGGCAGCAATGCAGGCGTCTCCAATGTCGAGCGTGCGCTCCACCATCAGCAGCATCGCCAGCAGCAGTGCTAGCAGTGGGAGCAGCAGCTTCTTCCAAGGTCAGTCCAAGATGACTGTCTCCATGGCGGGTGCGCGAGTGAGCATGATGGCGACGGCGGACAAGGCAGCAGCACCAGCGCCGGCGGGATTCACCCCGCCAGAGCTCAAGCCCGACACTCCATCACCGATCTTCGGCGGCAGCACGGGCGGGCTGCTGCGCAAGGCACAGGTGGAGGAGTTTTATGTGATCACCTGGGAATCGGGCAAGGAGCAGATCTTCGAGATGCCCACGGGCGGCGCCGCCATCATGAGATCCGGGCCCAATCTCCTCAAGCTCGCGCGCAAGGAGCAGTGCCTGGCGCTGGGCACGCAGCTGCGCTCCAAGTTCAAGATCAACTATCAGTTCTACAGGGTGTTTCCAAACGGCGAGGTGCAGTACTTGCATCCCAAGGACGGAGTGTACCCCGAGAAGGTGAACCCCGGGCGGAAGGGCGTGGGCGTCAATCTCAGGTCCATTGGCAAGAACTGCAACCCGGTGGATCTCAAGTTCACTGGCAAGGCCGCCTACGACGTCTAAGATCTCATTTCTAGTTCTCCGTGTAAACCATGAAACTTTAAAAGCAGTCCATGGGCCTTGCATCTCTCACCTTTGAGTAAATGGATCTCGATCGAACTGTGTAAATCTATCTTCTCTTCGTTCCATCTTTTCTTCATTTTTTAAGTAATGTTTATGATAACAAAGAACGCAAGTTTGAAAAGCTTGTACTGCATGTGGTGGTGTTCTCAGGTATGAAAAGTTTGTTCACCTCAGTATCTACTGCAGCTAGGTAGACGTTTCAGTCTTGCCTTTGTCCATTTGAACCTACATATAAACATACACTTTAAATCATATTGAAAACTATGGTGTATGATTCTTCATATCCTTTCATCTCTTCTTGTACAAGATTCTTGTGTAGAATCACATATGTTACATATGAAAACTTTTTAAATCATGAATTACCTTTATGTTGCTAGTAATGTTTATATGCTTATGTATACATAGGAAATAAATGGGGAAAATCATTCTTACACTGCCGCAAACATGGACACAAGGAAAACCATATGGTATGTATATGTTGTAACTGAGAATGTATGTTTACAACAACAAAAAAAAAACAATACCTTATACAAAATCTACTACAACACTGTTATTTTAGAGCTTTTGGAAGATTTACACCTCCCATTCCCCATTAACCTCAAAATATTAGAGGTGGGGATTCCACAATTTTTTTCATTTCTAAAGATGGAAGTATACCTTATGGTTACTAAAAGAAATTATATTTTGAACATCAAAGACAGATAAACATTTTTATGAAGTAGAAGAAGCTGGGCTATGGATTAACACTCACATGTTGTTGGGCCTCAAGTGTTCATGAGAAAGGTAAAGAAGGGGTCACAATCGTCGTGTCTCAGGTCCAACGCCTGGGGAAGAAGTTGACGAGCGTTTCATCTCCTTGATATATATACGCTCGTGGCAGCAGCCTTGAGTCGACGTGGCAGATTGGCTGGCAGTTTAGGGCAGCGCAAAATGAAGCGCAGGAGGGAGGAGGAGAATGGAGGAGGAGGTGAGATCGACGAGGCGCTCCTGGCGGCACTCGAGTCGTCGTCGAGCGGCGCGGGCGCAGGAGGAGGAGGTGGGGCGGCGGTGGAGCTGCTGGACGTCAAGGGCGTCAAGAAGATGGTGCTGGCGTTTGAGCGCAAGCTGCGGGACAACATCGAGGCCCGGATGAAGTACGTGGATCAGCCCGACAGGTTTGTGGAGTCGGAGGTGGATCTGGACGAGGAGCTCAAGAAGATGCACGCATTGGCAGCCAGCCCCGATTTGTATCCGGAGCTCGTCCGGCTCAAGGTAGTGGGATCCATCGTGAGCCTCCTCGGCCACGAAAACACCGATATCTCCACCGACGTTGTCAATCTCCTCAACGAGCTCACGGACGGGGACGTGATCGGCGACAACGAGCCGGCGGGCCTCCTCGTGGACGAGCTCGTCTCCAGCAATGCGCTGGAGCTGCTCGTCCAGAACTTGTCGCGGCTGGACGAGGCCGACCCGGACGAAGCGGCCGCGGTGTTTAACTCGCTCTCCATCGTCGAGAACCTGATCGAGGTGAGGCCGGCGGTGGTGGAGCTCGTGTGCGAGAGGAGCAAGCTCCTCAAGTGGCTCCTCACCAGGATCAAGGTGAAGGAGTTTGACAGCAACAAGCTGTACGCGAGCGAGATCCTGGCTATACTGCTGCAGTCGAGCGCCGCCAACCAGCTCCGGCTGGGACAACTCAACGGTGTGGACACTTTGCTCCAGAGTGTGGCGCTCTACAAGTCGAGGGATCCCAAGAGCAGCGAGGAGGAGGAGATGCTGGAGAACCTGTACGATTGCCTGTGTAGCGTTGTGATGCATCCGGACAACAAGGACAAGTTTGTCAAGGCCGAGGGTGTGGAGCTCATGGTCATTATCATGAAGCAGAAGAAGAAGCTGGCCTACGGATCAGCGCTCAAGGCTCTCGACTTCTCACTCACCAAGTGCTCCGATGCCTGCGAGAGGTTTGTGGACGTGTTGGGCCTCAAGAGCTTGTTCCCGGCATTCATGGGAAAGGTAAAAAAGTGGCTACGATTACAAGGTAACAATTCGGTCTTGCGTTTCAGGTCCCAAAGAAGTCTGGGGAAGAAGTGGATGAGCGTTTGATATCCTTGATATACTCCTTGTTCGGTAAAACGTCTTTCATTTTGTTGCCTTTTTATAAGTTTGTGTTTTTGTTGCAGCTGGGCTGACCAAGGACGCCAGCAAGGAACGGCTGCTGAGCAAGTTCGAAGAGAATGAATACGAGAAGATCGATCGGCTCATGGAATTCTTTGTCAAGTTAGCAGCAGCAGTCATGGTGTAGATTCTTCTAACTTGAGCTCTGTTTTGCAGGTACCACAACCGGGTGAAGGCGGAGTCGAAGAAGCTAGATGCGGAGAGCTTTGAGGAGGTACTTCTCTTGTTTCTTCACTGGTACTGATTTTCCTGCGGGATCTGCAGCTGGACGAGGACGACAAGTACTTGAAAAGACTAGACGCCGGGCTTTTCACGCTGCAGGTACACGTGACTCTAGAAAACCTGACAACACTTTGTGTATTGCTTGCAGCTACTTGCGTTGATTCTCGCGCACATATGGCTCTCCAAGTACGTAGATTTTTGTTCTTCTCAACTGTTGATCTCCTTCCTTTGTTTGTAGGCTCCCGGGCGTGCAAAGTCGCATCGACCTTTTACTGAAGCAGCAGCGGCTGTCTAGAGAAGACGTCAAATCTGTATTGCAGGTAGAGTCCACTGCTATTTTATGTGTCACTGACGTCTAGGCAATTACAGGAGTATCGTGACAATGTGGACGATGAAGGGGGTAAGGCTAGTGTCGAAGCCTTTATAAGTGCAATGTGATCGGGAAAAGACCCTTTTCGGGGATGACCATCTGGGACAGGGGCCATGCTCTCGACAGCATTGAAGAAGATATGATCAGCAGCTATGGAAGATATCTCTCTACTCCCTGCTTGTGTCGACCCATGATGAACTGTTTTGCGACAAATTTTGGTGTTCGCTGCTAAAGGTTTCTTTGCGATCTCACTCGCTTCAAGTTCGCGTTTACGAAGTGGCGTGTGGCTTCAGATCTGGTGAGGGCACCATATTTGCCTACTGAGATTACAAAGACTTCAATATATTATGTTTTACATCTTGTCGTGCCCAACTAAGAAGAATAAGATTGAATCCAGCACATCAAAGAGAAGAGCCTTGTGTCTAACAGGTAAAGCACGATGGTGCTTTACCTGTGTTTGATCAGTGTTTGATTATGCTGCTCTTTGTTTGTGGAGTACTCAGTTTGTCACCTTTCCAGCATCAAGTTCTACACGGGATTGGTCCCACTTGTCCTCAATGCCTTCGGAAGTTTTGCAGGAAAAAGACTTGTTTTCAGGGGAGCCTTGGGTTGTTGCATAGACATTCTGTACTGGAGGAAGATGAATACTGTGATGTTATTCTCAAGAAGTTTGACAAGACCAGTTGCTGCAGTGAAAAAGAATGCTCAGGAATGCAGATTGGACATGCATAGATGGCATATATGCAAGACAACTGCTTACAAATAATTACTTGATCAGTTAGTCTTCTTTGAGCTGATGTGAAATTTTAAGTGGGTTCAAATTACAACCACCGCTTAATATGACAAATGTGAAAATGAACTTGAGATTCTCATGGTTTCTGAATGTGTATGATTTTATTCATAGTATATTCTCTTGAATTTTGCAAGTTCAAAATCCAATGTGTGTAATATACAAAAATGGATAGAGACCGTCTATTTACTAAAATTAGGTTATTTATCTATCTATCTCTCTCTCCCTCTTTTTCTCTCTCTCTATATGTGTGAGTATGGGATCCAAGTGTACAATTATAATCTTGTATTAGCATAATGGGATTTTGATAGCCATTAGATTTTTCAATTCAAACCACTTATTTTTGTATATAAACAGGGTTTCTTTAATGCATATTTTTGTATTCCATACACTTATATAATGGAGATGAGGGGCAACTCTAATCACCTTTGTAGATTTATGATTTTAGTTTTGATTTAACTTTTACATTGTCTAAATATCTTTTATATTTATAACTTTTCCCATTTATTCTCTTTTGTTTTTCTTCCTTTAGTTCATCTTCAAAATCAATAAAGTGTCTTACACTAACCAAAAAGACCATTCCCCTTCTTTTTCACCATTACATTCTTTGGGATAGGCCAACACAAGCCTTAAGGTACTCTCCCCACCTTTTGCAACTATGGTGCCTCAACCATATAGATAGGGTGAGGTTTTGATAAGATCATATTAGTTCTTTGAAATTTTCCCTTTATTATCCTATAAAAATTTATAAAACCTTTTAAAGTCTAAGAAATTATTGATTTGGGCTTTCACCCCTCGAACTTGGACTTAGTCTCAAACTTGAACTCGGACTTAGTTTTGGTCTCAGTCTTGGTCTCAGACTCAACATTTTTCATATACTAATTCTTCTTTTGTCCTTTTCTAAAGATTTATTTATCGATCACTTCATACTCATTCCTCAAGCACTTCTTTGAGAGTTCTTTTCCCACTCTCAACTTTCCAAGTAAAAACTTTGGTTCAAATGTATTATATTTGTTCAGCTTTCACTTTGGCCACTACTATATAGCATACTTTTGGCTGTATTTTAGAACGTAAAGTTACAAAGAACAAGAAGAAGAAAAAAGAAATAAAAGTACTTAAACCAACTAAACCTAAGAAACTAGAACTATTTTGCAATATAACCAAATTTTATGTTGGAGCAAACTTATTAGCAAGAGAAGCTTGCTAATATAGATAGATTTGATATCAATAGTTTATCCTACCCTAGCTGCTTAAAATGTATAAAGATAACTCTTTTGTCCCCTTTAATCTAATTAAAAAAGAGGTAATTATTTGATAAAAGAACTCTACTATTTTATCCCTATTTATCCCCTAAAATTCAAAAGATCCACAGTGATAGTATATTATGGTTTAATGACAAAGAAGTCTTAGAGGTCAATAGGACTTAATAGACAAGCCTTTAAACCCCAACTCAATAACAATGCTAGCAATCACTACCATGAATAGATAGGGATTCAGTAGAGATCAAATAAAAGATTACCAACTAACACATCCAAACTAGACATAAATGTAAACTTTTAAATTTGGACTTCTTGATAGGTCATTCAGCCCAAAAACCCTAAATATCCCAAAACCCTAGAAAAATGAATTCACTTTTATTTATGAGCTCTTTCCCTTTGTATTTGAACCCTTATGGAAATAATTGTTTTGGTTATTTACAATAGAAAAAGAGTGATATAACTTAGTAGAAGCAAAATTAATATCTCATGTGGTTGATTACTATCTCTACTATATATTTGGAACCCCTTATAATCTACCCCTTGCCCCATATAAAAGCTCATTTTATATTTTCAACTAAATAATCTCTAGGACAAGTTTGAAAATGGAATGGTGTTAAATTTCAAATTGGAATATAGGAACACTACTATAACTTTACATTAACATCTTTGGTAGATTTAGGCATATTCTATAAATAGTTAATGGGACTAAAATAGAACCAACATACAAAATATGATAGTGAGAGTGTTTGGCTATATGGCAATGTTTAATTTAACTGACTTAAGCCTCCAATTTTGGGTTGCCACATCTACCACCTCAACAAGCTTGCCACTCATCCATCTCATCAAAAAGCACTTACCAGCCTAATACTAGGCTCACCTATTTTAGGTAGGAACAAGCTTACCCTACCTTTGAACTAACTTATTTTCTGGGGCAAGAGGAGGTGATGCTGCAAGTGAAGGCTACAAGAGAATACAAGTTTATAGGTATATGAAATTTAAAATTTAAAATTTAAAGCCTTCAAATAAATTTCATATGTTCTAATAGATGCTTATATGAAGCTGTTGGTTTTACTTCCTTTTGCTATAGAAATGGATAAGGACTAAAGACAAACTGAGACTAGGTTTCTGAATTCACCAAAATGTACTAATACTCCAGTGAAGAATAGGTGGCATTGACATTTAGTTTTGTGTAAACCAGGAGTGTTGCACTCAATTGTTGTGCTGTTTTGCAAACGGTATAGGCAGTGGATATACTTAGAATATTTTTGAATATTTTAGGATATTCTACCATCTAACTGTTATTAATGTTTATAATCTATAAACTTTCTTAAACACTTCCTGATATTCAATAAGATTAATCTTGTATTTATATGTTATAAACTTCCATTTGATTAATTAGATGCATGCAACGCACAGCAAAAAATTATTATTATTATTATTCTGGTCACTCATTAATCTTTGATACTGCGTGGACCACTGCTCTTATGAACAGTAGGTAAGAAGCTGGAACGCACTCCAATCTGCATGTGTGTAGATACTTTGCGTACATATAATTGCATAACCGTAGTACCAGCTGGCTACCTTTGAATGATTATATGAATCTGTTAGAACAAAAATCATGAAAATGATATAATATTTATGCATATGAGCTGTGTGAGATGTGTAAATTATGAAGGTGGAGCTTGAGTTAGCGCGACTTTCTTATGAGCAGTCACCAATACTTTGGCTGGCTGCCGGGCTTGGTGTCAATGAATTCTTTGCTCATAAGTTCTCGCAGCTTGTCTACCTTTGGGGATCCATCGTTCTTGGGGTCAATACCGACGATCTTCCGGTTGAGCAGTTCTTTTTGTCAGTCGCTCTGCTTGTGATTAGGTACTTTAGAATACATGTTCTTCCGAAGCCCTCTCCAGAAGACTTGTGGAGCTACAGTATCCTCGCAGTATTCGGCTTGATACTTGACGTGTTTAGTATGGCGGTGGGTTGCTCCGGCCTTGCTTTGATGTCAAATGAGTTCAGCCTCTCGATCTTTCTACTGGTGTTCTACTCTTTCTCCTTGCTCGAGACGTTAATCTATTTCCTGGCGAGGGTATCTTGTTTTGCACGAAAGTATTCTATCTGAGGAAACTCTACAAGCTCTTGCATGAACAGCAGGTAAGCAACGAGCAAGATGCTGAGAATCAGGAATGCAATGGTAATGGCCCAGCAACAGTGCCAGTTCATGACAAGTTCAATGTTCAGCTCCTGAATGCTGTTGCCTTCCTTGAGATTTACAGCATGCACCATGAGAAGCCCGCTTACTATGATGCTTTGGACAAAGAACAAGTGTGCGTTCGCAACATTATGGTTTCATCAGAGGGTGGCAAGAAGCGCTGGTCCTTGCCAGCGCTTAGTGGATCTTCCACTCTACTGATTCGGAAGGGCATTCTGCACAATGTGGACTTGGACGAGGTCCTTGAGTTCATCTACAAACGCTACAACGACCCTGCAACTTGGCTACAGAATCTGAAGTACCGCTGCACAAAGTATGAAGTACCTGCACACAAGATTGGGGAGAATCCTACAACTTCAATTTCTTTCACAGGTCCTTGTGGTTTTTGTGTTCGTCACTGTGAACATTCTCTTTCTTCTCCACTGGATGACGAGTATGAAGAACGTATAAGTTATGTTTCACACAACAAGCCTCTGATCAAACGGATCTTCAATGAGCTCCTCACCTGGGAAAGCAGCCTTGACATCCGACGGTCCGCGGTGGCACTCTTGCTTTGCATCTGCGAAAACAAGGAGGCTGCTTCCGTGGTATCTCAAGCTGCTAAATCGGATGACCGACGACTCCAAGCACTTCAAAACGCCTTGCCTCCCAGTCCGGATAACGAGCTTAACAGGCTTCTGCAGAAACTAAATCTTTCAGAAAATGATCTCCAACAGGGTGAGACTCTGGACCTGAAGAACAAGGTCACAGAAACAAAACAAAAGTACATGATATAGATATGTGTATACATATGTGGCTTTTCTATTTCATTGTGAGATATGCCATTAGGAAAGAAGATAAAAGAATCCATAAATCCATATATATATATATATATATATCTAAAATGCTTCTCTTCCTTTGGTCCTTTAGTTCCAACTAGTATAATTGTGAGAATGCATAGTTTATTATGTTTTTATTCTAAAATGAATTTATCTATAAATAAATTAACTGTTAAAAATGAAGTTTTAATTGAATGAGATACTATAATAAACATATTTTCTTTGCAACATATGCCATACCTATATCTAGATCCTATACCACAAAATGTTTGAGGCTTGGTTGCTCAAAGAGTGTAGCTAAACCTTAAATTTAATCTAATATAGGAGGGGGATTAAAGTGAGTTTGGGAAATCCATGAAGTGATGGGTAACATTTTATTACTCATATAATAAATAGTTAAATTTAAATAAAACCAAGTAGAAATTAATATAATAAATAGAAATTTTGGCAAAGGAATTTAGCTAATCCAAAGGCAAAGGTGGTTGAGTAAATAAGGTAAACTGGAAAATTGGAAAAGGAAATTTTTTAGGTTATAAATAATATCTATTGATCACTTAATATAGTTCTTTTGTAAGCTCTTAAATTTAAATTTCTTAAAATGTCACTTAGCCCAATATTACTCAAACCCAAGAATGCATAATATATGAGTTCACATATAATAAAAGCCCATAGTTAAAGAATTTTATGCCATATGAATTCCTTTTATATTGAAGAAGATTAAATTTAGTTTTTTTCTATTAGAAATTATAGTAGTATTATACAATTTTCTCTTTGACTTAATTGCTTATTGGACTTATGTTATTTAATTTCTTGTTATATTTAGGATATGTTTTAACTTTTGAATAAAATTGTTAATTGAACCTAAACTAATCATTTCAACGTCAACTTTTATATTTAATGGATTATGTTAACTTCTTTTGACTCGAGCTTAGCTCTTGAGGTGAGCTCAAAAACCACCTAACCCTTTGTTTTTCCAACAACAAAATTTGTGAGTGTAAGTTTTGCAAAGATAGAGGATAATGTTGGTCCCTCTTCAAATCATGATCATACTGGAATGATCAGAAGTTCAGGTAAGGATTTTAATATGTTTTACTATCATGGTTATAATACTCCTTTTTTTGCAGATGATGAAGATAAACTCCTCTTAACTTTGTCGAAGGATCCAAAAGCTGCCAAAACTCTATCACCATTAATACAACCACTTTCAAGAATTGTAACATAACTAGTTATGTAGCTTTCAATATTTTCATAGGTGTTGGGCAGCAAGAGTTAGAGCTGTTTAAGCTTACTCCAGCCAAATAATAATAAAAAACAATATATTCAGTGTGTGAATATGGTAGTATATGTTCTAGAGAACATGCGTGCCATGTGGGTGGGAATACATGTTTTGGAGAGCATATAGAAGCCATGTAGGATGATAATGGTTTGGCAGTAACATTCTCATAAATAACAAATCTCAATCCAATGGCACGGCCGGATCACCTTAATGAGCAAGAGAGTTCAAGTAGGCACCACTCGCCCAGGAAACAGTCAGGAAGGCGAAAAACATTCCTCGCCAAGTTGGCGTCACTACCATAAGATCTCATCCACCTCCATGTGTAACTGTTAGTCACAATCACTCACATGTAAGAGATGGTTTCTCATTAATACATACGAAGAGCCGCAGTTTGGATCCATTTCATTTGCTGCTGACTGCCATCGCTTGGTGTCGTGGTGAATCTTGCAAGCATTTGCAAATGCCACCCATATCTGTGTCTCGGCCTGGAAAGGCATGGCGTCAAGAACATCCCAAGCGCACTCTAGATGCCCCGCGCGTCCAAAGCTGTCAACCACGCAGCAGTAGTGCTCTTGCCCGGGAAGAATCCCATAGTCCTGCTGCATGGATCTCAAGTAGTGGCAAACTCGCCAGAGTCCACCCAGCTGACTACATGCCGTGAGCAAGCTCACAAACGAGACCCCTCGCGGACAGAGGCCCTCGAGCGCCATGGATTGGAAGAGTGTAATTGTTTGTCCGGCAAGCCCCGCGTTGGCCAGAGCCGTGAGCATCGTGTTCCAGGACCACTCGTCTCGTTTCGGCATTATATCGAAGAAAAGCCGGGCTTGGCGGACGCTGCTCTGTGCGTGCGCTGCAATCAGCGTGTTCCAGGACACCACATTCGTCTCGGGCATTCTCTCAAACGCGGCCACTGCCTCGTCGACATGCCCTTGGTTAGCATTCACTGCGATCATGGAGTTCCAGGAGAGAGTGCTCCATTTTGGCATTCGATCAAAGACTTTCTTGGCTTGTTCTGTATGGCCATTGAGGCCAAAGGCTGCCACCATTGCATCGCACGACACAAGATCTCGATTGGGCATGGAGCAAAACATTTGTGTGGCGCGGTCGAGTGTCCCCGGGGATTGGGCGTAGCAAACCATCATCGACGTCCAAGTAACTGGATCCCATACGGGGATTTGAGAGAAGAGGTTCTCTACCTCTTGCGTCCCTCCGGCATGAGCGTAAGCCGTGATTACCGTGTTCCATGACACTCGGTCTCTTACAGGCATCGACTCAAACAGGATCTTGGATCTTGCGAGGTTACCACTGCGAGCTGCCGCGGCGATGAGGGAGTTCCATGACACAACGTCCGGCTCTGGGATGGCCTGGAACAGATCCATGGCTGCCTGGAGCTGCCCTCTTTGAGCATATCCAGCAAGCATCGTGTTCCAGGAGTTCACAATAGTTTCTGACATCCTGCTCATCACCTCGAGGGCGTTATCTATCATTCCAAGCTGGGTGTATGCAGTGATCATCGCGTTCCAAGACACCACATTTCTCTCCGGCATCCTTGTAAAGATTTGGCTCGCATCTTGGACATGCCCGGCTTGGGCATATGCGCAAAGAAGAGACGTCCAAGAGATTACATTGGTCTCTGGCATTTTCCCCAGAAAGTACTCTGCAGCATCTATATCCCCAGATTGTGCCAAGACCCCAACAATCATTGTCCAGGAAATCTCGCTGCGACATGGCATTACTTGAAACAGTGACTTTGCTAGCAAAACGTTCCCGCAATGGGCATATGCAGAAATAATCAGGTTCCAGGAGACAGCATTAGGCTTGTGAATCGAATTAAAGACGCGACGGGCCTCCTCCAGGCTCCCACATCGAGAATACATCTGGATCAAAAGATTGGAGAGATACGTATGCTGGTGTGGGTTAACGAGATGCCGCTGGATGCAGGCGTGAATGGCGCGCGCCTCGCTCAGATCCTTCGCCGATCTCACTAGTGTCACGTAAAACGTGCTCTTACAAGACCCTGTCATCCATTACACTGGAGCAAACCCAGGAAAATTTGCCAGAGAATGCCCGGAGTGGGCATCTGGAGACGCAAGCGTCCAGTTAAGAGCTGGTTTATCTTTGAAGAGATTGGCTTACGTGGCATCCGGCGGGCCAATGGCAATGAGCCCCTTATCCACAAGGGATCCAATTGGTGGCGGGAGAAAGAGAGGGCTTTCTCCAATCGATCCATCCATCCGAGAGCAATGGCGGCCACAGCGGCAATGGTGTCCTCGGCGGCGGCATTGGCATCGTCGCGGAGCGGCGTCCATGGCGCCAGCCTCGTCTTGGCCAAGGCGCCCCTCCCCAAGGCGGTGGCGGCGAGGCAAAGCCTGAGCTGCAGCTGCTCCATGGCGGACGAGGAGGAGCAAGGAGTGTCGAGGAGACTGGCCTTGGCGCTGGCGGCCGGAGCTCTTGTGGCCACCGGCAAGGTGTCCACTGCGAGTGCGGCTTATGGCGAGGCGGGTAAGCCGTTCTCCTCTTCCTTGCCATGGTTTTAGCTAGCAAGCTAATCCAATTGTCTCCTCGCTTTGCTCGAGCAGCCAATGTGTTTGGCTCGCCAAAGCAACAGTCGGGCTTCACCACCTTGACCGGCGATGGCTTCAAGCTGGACGTGCCCTCCAAGTGGAATCCCAGCAAAGAACTCGAGTTCCCTGGCACACTGCTGCGATACGAGGACAACTTCGACCAAAAATCCAACCTTGCAGTCATGGTCATCCCCACGGACAAGAAATCCATCACCGACTACGGATCGCCCGAGGACTTTCTCAGTGCTGTAAGTATCAATCATCTCATGTCGATTCACTTGATTTCTTGCTTTCTTTTGCAGTATAGCTATCTCCTCGGCAAGCAGGCCTATGCTGGCAAGACCGTCTCAGAGGTATAGTTCATCTCATCCATGTCCATGAATCGAGCTCAAAGTTTTTGCGTGAATCCTGGCTGGCAGGGAGGATTTGATCCCAACGCCGTGGCCACTGCCGCGGTGCTACAATCCAAGACAAAAGACATCAATGGGAAGAAGTACTACGATCTGGATGTACTGACCAGAACAGCCGACGGTGACGAGGGTGGCACGCACCAGCTGATCGTTGCGTCCATCAACAATGGCAAGCTCTACTTGCTCAAGGCACAAGCGGGCGACAAGAGGTGGTTCAAGGGCGCGCAGAAGTTCGTCAAGGGTGTTGCCGAATCCTTCAGCTTGGCTTAGATATATATACCTTATAGCAAGCTCCACCACAAAGCTCTAAAACGTGAAAGAAAGCGATCCTTAAATTCATCGCTGATCGCTCTCGCTCTCGATAGAGGTGTACATTTTCTACGATGCTTGCGTGAATTTTATTCAAGGAATATCAGAAGAATTTAAATTGTAAACCAGTTTGGCGCGAACGATTACTCTCGAGAACTTTGTTGATCAAGTCTTTGATCTTCCGAGGCGATACCTTGAAAGCAGCGCGAGCGGCCTGTTTCACCTGGGCAGCCTTGCTCCTCACAAGTTCGCCCTCGTCAATCACCGCGCGAAAAGCTTGCTCGAAAGCAATTCTCGTGATCAAACCATCTTTTCCATCTTTCGCCAGCCCCACGCCAATCCCCAAGTGCTCCACGATAATCCGTGCGTTCCCTCGCTGCTCTCCATAAAATGGCATCGTGATCATCGGAACGCCCCGGCTTAAGCTCTCCATCGTTGAGTTCCATCCGCAGTGGGTCATGAAACCACCCACGGCCCTGTGCGACAGAACCAAGAGCTGTGGTGCCCATTTCCTCACCGCCATTCCTGTCTTGTTCGTCGTCGCCCGTTCCAGGAATCCTTCCGGAAGTAACTCCTCGGCACCATTGTGCAAAACCCACAGAAATCTCTTCTCGCTTGCTTCCAATCCAAGCGCAAGCTCTTCGATTTGTTTCCGGTTAGCGCGAGCGAAGCTTCCAAACGAGATGTACACGACGGACGCGGTGGGCTGCTCGTCCAGCCATGCCAAGCACTCGACTTTGTCATAGTCTTCACAAGCATTGTCCTCCGCGAAGTAAGAGTCTGGAAGCAAAGGCCCGATATCCACGAAAGGAACCTTGTTGGGATTTATCTGGGGGTTCTCGCTCACAGCGATGCATGCCTCCTCCTCGATCGCAGCAAACGTGTTGCACATCACTCCAGCTGCCTCGTGATCTCGAACAGCGTTTGTCACGTAGAAATCCCGCATGACTTTGGGGACTGTCTCTAAGATCAAGTCGATAACTTGGTCGCTCGAGAGTGGCGAGAGTCCAGCCGAATCTATCCCGGGTATTCGCACCAGCTCTTGAACTCGTACAGGAAGCTTGTTCTGGTGTAGCATATTCTTGACGTAGAAATGGAAGGCTAGTGCCATTCCCGGCGATGGGTAGAAGATAATCCTGGGAATGTTGAGCTCGTCTGCTACGTCTTGGGCCCAGGAAGCAAGCAAGTTGTCCGTGATGATGCAGCTTATAGGAGGATTGGCAGCACTAATGAGCTCCTTAAGTTCTACTCCATCTTCGGGATGGAATCCAAAGGCCCAGCCCATGAGCTCCATCGAGTCGTGCCCTGAGCTCGATTCCTGCTGCTCTTTGGAAGGGAAGTTTTTCTTGAGCGTCTGGAACTTGATGTGTGGGTTGCATGCTCGTGCTTTGGCCTCTCTCTTCACTTGCTCAAGCCTAAAATCATGACAAACGTAGCTTACCTCGAAATCAAGGCCGGCTAGCCTGCTCGCGAGCACCAAAGCTGGGATCATATGCCCTTGAGCTGAATAAGGAACCACCATCAAGTGAGGGACCTCCTCCTCCATTATTGATCACTCTCCTTGGTACCCTGGACTTCCTTCTAGACAGGCCTTGAAACAAATGGTGCCAAAATGATCACTGTTGTTCCGGCAAAAATGAAGCAGCATAGCTCGCTCGTAGCATCGACAAACAAGCTAAAACGAATCTTAAGACAGAGCATAAAAAACAAAACAAATACCATCGGTGAGGATCGGCTTGTTAGCTTATGCCACCACCTCGGGTAGTTGTCCATCATACTTGATAACCTCCTCTAACTCGTCATTGTTACATGACACACCTCACCACATCTGTTAGTGCAGTGTGCTTTGATCCCGATTTGTCTCATGGTATCGGAGCTGGGATAGCATTATGGAAGGAAAGCCATCCATCCACAAGTTTGATGGAGAAGAGATTCAAGATCCATCTTGAATCCTACCTCTTGTTTCATGGTTTGTAGGGGATTGTAGATGGGACAGAGCCATCACCAGCTCTAGGCTTTAGCGCTGCTGAGGTGCATGGTTAGAACGTTTGGGATTCCAAGGCTAGAGGGAGTATTGTGATGTGCTTGTCCTTGAATGTTTTCTTTGCTGCTCCATCAATTCTAAAGTCCATTGTGGTAGTGCTTTGGACATGGTTGAGTGACACTTACAGCACCAAGAGTGAAATGGATGTCTTCAACTTCTATTCACAAATGGATTCCTTGAGGCTAGAGGAAAATGGTAGTATCCAGACTCACATTGCCAAACTCCAAGGCTTCTTCACACAATTTGCAATTGTTGGGGCAAAGCACTATCTCACATATGAGCAGCAAAAGATGCAACTCTATAAGTCCTTGCCAGCTAGTTGGAAGAATGCAGTTGAGAGCTTGCTTCTCCAACTAGGGATGACTTGGGCAGATGCCATGAGGAGTCTTCACAACATTGAAGCCATGTGGAACGAGAGAGCAGAAATACCATAGGCTATGTATGTTTTGCAGGCTTCTGGTAAGCCAAGGTGGCAAAACTGCATACAGCTGCAAATGCCCAGAAAGGGCAAAAATCCATGGCATCTGGGCATGCCAAGAATCAATGCATTTGCTGTTTGGAGATGGGCTATTGGGCTTGAGATTGTACTAGCTATGATGGCAAAAAGCCAATCTACTCAAGGGTGATGGAATTGGTACAACAAATGAGGCTATTGAGGAGCTCTACAATGTAGAGGCAGTTGTAGCACCGAGTAGGCAGCTCTTAGACTCTAGTTGTACTAATCTTATGGGCAATAAGAAGAGTTTTTTTGAGTGTTATCAGTTGAGAATTGGAAAATGTGGTGTTTATTTAGGTAACAATACCACTATCCCTGTGGAAGGCATTGGGCAATTTGGCTCTCACTTGACCATAACATTTAATGTGTGAGACACAAAATCCCTAGGCCCCAAAGTGGAGCCGGAAGGGTGCCACGTGGTAGTGGCCGAAGCGAAAGCCAAACGAGTGTAGCACGTTTGGACTAAAAGCTCCGACTTGAGAGGTCGAGAGCGGGAGTGGAACTCCCAACAAAGTGCTCAAGGAGCGAGCACGAAGCGAACAATAAGCAAGGCTCCAAAAAGGGACCCAAAAAGGACCAACACATGACACGTGGAAGTGTCCGAGATGGAGTCCGAGGCGGACCCTAGTTGGAGTCCGAGATGGACCCGAAGTGGAGTCCGAGATGGACCTGAGATGGAGTCCGAGATGGACCCGAGATGGAGTCCGAGATGAAGTCCGAGGTGGACCGAGACGGAGTCCAAGGTGGACTTGAGGTGGAGTCCGAGATGGACCGAGATGGAGTCCGAGATGGACCGAGACGGAGTCCGAGATGGAGTCCGAGATGGAGTCCGAGATGGAGTCCGAGGTGGACCCGAGGTGGAGTCCGAGATGGACCGAGACGGAGTCCGAGATGGAGTCCGAGATGGACCGAGACGGAGTCCGAGATGGAGTCCGAGATGGAGTCCAAGAAGGACCCGAGATGGAGACCGAGGTTGAGACCGAGACCGGGACCGAGACCGAGACCGGGACCGAGACCGAGACCGAGACCGGGACCGAGACCGAGACCGAGGCCAAGGCTGAGACCGAGCCCGAGTCCGAGTCCGAGTCTGAGAGGGTGAAAGCCCAAAGCGTTCGTCTCCCAGACCCTGGGGGGTTTGGTGAGCTCCAAAAGTATAGTAGGGGGGAGGACTGCAATGGAGCCAGTTTGGCCAGGAAAGGCCAGTTTGGCCTAGGAAGGCCAGACCCAGTGTTGGGTGATAAACTGACCACTGGGAAGTCCAAGACTAGAGTGAATACGGACCGACAAGCAGGGTAGCTTGGTGAAGTGTTCAAGGGCCGGCTCTAGTTCCCCCGGGAGATCGACTGGCCGATGCTCCTAGTCCAAGTGTGGGTGGCGCTACTTACTTGGATACCAGGCGTGGCTCAATAGAACCTCGCTCTAAGCCCATGGCTAGAGCACCTAAAGGCGAAAGGTGGGGAGAGTACCCAGGTGGCTCGCGTAAGGCCACGGTGTTCCGAAATGTTGTCCCAAAGGCCCAAACTGTGGAAAGGAAGAGGAGCAGTCCTCTGAGGTAGTGACCAAGGACACAGTCGTGTGGTGAGGAAGTCCCAGAGGACCGTGGGACTTAGTGGTCGGGTGTAAGCGACTAATTTTTCCATTCTACTTTAGTCACTTAACCACACCTCCAACCACTTAGAGGAGTCTCGTTCACAACCTCCATAGGTCCAATTTAGGACTTGGGACTTGCTAGCCCCAAGAATGGCATCCATGCCACTCCACACTTGCACCTGGTCCAAGTGCTCCACGTGTCCGGTCCCAAGACCGACACCCAAAGGTACCACTGACATCTCGGCCCGTTACGCTAAGGCCATGCCCATTCACCTTTGCTGCACTAGTGGTCCAATACCACTTGCATCACCATCCCGTCTCTCCAAGACTGGGCCATCTGTCCACGAGTGGTCATCCTGGATCCACTCCTTAGCATCCTTAGGATGCCCACAGACCTGGGGAATCGCCTTCCCGAAAGTCCCTTTGTCAGTTCCTACCAAGTCCCTTTCTGCCCCTGGCCGTGTTTGCCAACACTGCCACTGGATCGAGGCCCACAGGCCCGACCACTAAGTCCCATGGTCCTCTGGGACTTCCTCACCACACGACTGTGTCCTTGGTCACTACCCCAGAGAACTGCTCCTCTTCCTTTCCACAGTCTGGGCCTTTGGGACAACATTTCGGAACACTGTGGCCTTACGCGAGCCACCTGGGTACTCTCCTCGCTTTCTGCCCTTGGGTGCTCTAGCCATGGGCTTAGAGCGGGTTCCGTTGAGCCACACCAGGTATCCAAGTAGGTAGTGCCACCCACACTTGGACTGGGAGCATCGGCCAGTCGATCTCCCGGGGGAACTAGAGCCGGCTCTTGAACACTTCACCAAGCTACCCCGCTTGTCGGTCCGTGTTCACTCTAGTCTTGGACTTCCCAGTGGGCAGCTCATCACCCAACACTGGGTCTGGCCTTCCTGGGCCAAACTGGCCTTTCCTGGCCAAACTGGCTCCACTGCAGTCCTCCCCCTTACTATACTTTTGGAGCTCACCAAACCCCCCAGGGTCTGGGAGACGAACGCTTTGGGCTTTCACCCTCTCAGGCTCCGGACTCGGACTCGGACTCGGACTCAGACTCGGACTCGGACTCGGGCTCGGGCTCGGTCTTGGCCTCGGCCTCGGTCTCGGTCTCGGTCCCGGTCTCGGTCTCGGTCCCGGTCTCGGTCCCGGTCTCGGTCTCGGTCCCGGTCTCGGTCCCGGTCTCGGTCTCGACTTCGGACTCCATCTCGGACTCCATCTCGGGTCCATCTCGGGTCCACCTCGGACTCCATCTCGGACTCCATCTCGGACTCCATCTCGGACTCCATCTCGGACTCCATCTCGGGTCCATCTCGGGTCCATCTCGGACTCCATCTCGGACTCCATCTCGGGTCCATCTCGGACTCCATCTCGGACTCCATTTCGGGTCCATCTCGGGTCCACCTCGGACTCCATCTCGGACTCCATCTCGGACTCCATCTCGGGTCCATCTCGGACTCCATCTCGGACTCCATTTCGGGTCCATCTCGGGTCCACCTCGGACTCCATCTCGGGTCCATCTCGGACTCCATTTCGGGTCCATCTCGGGTCCACCTCGGACTCCATCTCGGGTCCATCTCGGACTCCATCTCGGACTCCATTTCGGGTCCATCTCGGGTCCACCTCGGACTCCATCTCGGACTCCATCTCGGGTCCATCTCGGACTCCACTTCGGACTCCAACTCGGGTCCATCTCGGACTCCACTTCGGACTCCAACTCGAGTCCATCTCGGACACTCCCACGTGTCATGTGTTGGTCCTTTTGGGTCCCTTTTTGGAGCCTCGCCTTTTGCTCGCTTCGTGCTCGTTCCTCGAGCACTTCGTTGGGAGTTCCACTCCCGCTCTTGACTTTTCAAGTCGGAGCTTTTGGTCCAAACGTGTTACGCTCGTTTGGCTCTCGCTTCGGCCACTACCATGTGGCGCCCTTCCAGCTCCACTTTGGGGCCTAGGGATTTTGTGTCTCACAACTCCACCACCCATAGACGAAGTTCGATGTCCTCATCGAACGGTAAACCCTTTCATAAAGTAACACCCACATGTGTTACCATTTCCATCTTTGGCACCTAGCCAATCTTTGTCTATGGTTTGACATCAAAGGCTCACCATGCCTTGTCCATCCTTTAAGGAGCGTAGTCTCTCCAATTTAGAGACTGATTGGACCACATGTAATGGTTCATCCTTTTATTGGTTTAGTTCTCGCTAAACCTCTTAGAGACCCTTCTTTAAGTCAATCCCACTACTCCTTCTCGAGTAGTCTCAATTTCCATCGATATAACCTTTGCACTTTGGAACTTTGAATTTTGACTTCTTGGAGTCAATTTCTTAGGTGTCTCCGACACCTTGCCTTGCACCTTTTGTGCAACTCCACTTCCCATCCTAGGAAGTTCTCTACTCGAGGGCACCATCATCCTCT